AACTTTTTTAATTGAGGTCCAAAGTTGGGGTAGGGTGACCCTATCACCACCCAATTTGAATTCATAAAAAAGTCCCTACGGCAAAGCTTTTGTCCACACTAGGTACAAATGATGAACAATTGCCTAAGGTAGCCTAAACCCAAAGACCCAGGTGGGTAAAGTTACGGAACTTTTTTAATTGAGGTCCAAAGTTGGGGTCGGGTGACCCTACCGCCATCCAATTTTAATTCATAAAAAAGTCCCTACGGCAAGACTTTTGTCCAAACCAGGTACAAATGATAGGCAATTGCCTAAGGTTGCCTGGACCCAAAGACCTAGGTGGGTAAAGTTACGGAACTTTTCTAATTGAGGTCCAAAGTTAGGGTTTGCCTATCATTTGTACCTAGTGTGGACAAAAGCTCTGCCGTAGGGACATTTTTATGAATTAAAGAAGGGAGGGGGTTGGGTCACCCTACCCCAACTTTGGACCGTTTCCCCGATAATAATTCCAATGTTAAAATGAAATAGTTTGTATTGTAGTGATTGCATCCTCTTCTTGTTAATATAACTCAGTGTAAAGAAATTGTTCTTCTGATTTCGGTTTTTCCGTCTGTTTCCCGAGTTTTTTTTAAATATGCCTCCTTGAAAAGCTTTGATTTGAAAATTTTGTCTGTTAAAGTAGCTGAAATCTTTATATCCATTCAGATATCGTGTCACGTGTGTCATTGTCACATAAAACACATTTCCTATTGAAATGTAATAAATAAATTGCCAGTTTTCAATCATTCCTAACGAAAACTGTGGATATTTATTCGCTTATATTTCAAATTATAATTCTGACTGCAAAATTCTGTACTTTACGTTCCGAAATCGGTATTTTGTTTTCTTTTAAAAGGAATATAAGCATGCGGATTTAATTTTATCTTTTATAAATTACACTAGTTAAGTATGGTCTAATTTTTTTTTATTTATTCACTATTATCATGATTATAAAGACAAACCGTTTCTACTCAAAGGTAATCAAAAAAGGGAGAGGAGAACCTAAAAGGAATTTTGAAAATCCTACAAGAGATGTCATGTGGTCAAGAACAATTATGTTGTCTTAAATATATAAATGAATAAATAAATAAATAAACAGTTTTCAATTAATAGTCTTTTTGAAAATGTTTGGCATTTCGTCTTCCTACTGGAAATGATTGTCATCAGATTTCAAAGAACGTTTCATGTTAATGCAAGTCTTCGGTTTTTAGGCAAGATCAGTTTTGCGCGTATTTCTTATTGTTCGCTGGCTTATTGTTCGCTGGCTTATTGTTCGCTAGCTTGAGTCTGGTTCTAAAACGCCTAATTTCAAGTGGGTACCAATTTAAGTCTGTCATCATTCCAGTAACTGAGCTGGCGTTATGAAAGCGGTTGCTTGTGAAGCGAGCTGCTCTTCTCTGAACTTTTTCAATTTGTGAAATTTAATATTCGTTAATTGAAAACGTCCGCCAAATTGTTCATTCAAATACTACCAGGAGAGCAACCAAAATCTACAATCGCGGAATATAATTATGTATTTTTTGTATTTTTACATTTGCGCTGAGTACCAAGTGTTAATAATCGTTATATGAAAATAAGAAATATTGTAGCATTGCCAGTTTATAGTTTGAATTAGGTCTTGATCTTGCCGCATTTTTGGGGGATCTTTTTAACAGTTAGATATCCTATAGTCTTCATGTCCTTAAATGATATTACATTGTATCATGAGTTGCAGTTACATTCAAACATTATAAAGCAAAATAGAGATTGTGTCAATATTTCACAACATGCTCATTTTCTAAAATTTATCACCCGCTATCTCAACTTCAGTATCATAGCTCCATTTGGTGTAAACAGAGGAGAAGACACTAAGGTGTCAATAAAATCTTCAAGTCGAAAAAAAAAACAGACAAAATCTGGCCAAAAAAGAAAAACAGCTGACAAACCACTATATAAATATAAAAATAAGAAGATGTGGTATGATTGCCAATGAGATAACTATCCACCAGAGATCAAATGACGTACATGATGTCACCGTATGGCCTTTGACAATTATCAAAACCAATACCACATAGAAATCTATCTAAGACCCCCCCCCCCCCCCCCCCCACCCCATAAAACAAAATGTAGAAAACCAAAGGCATGATTTATATACAAAATAACAAACGAAAAACATATATGACAGACAGCAACCAACCACGACTAATGAATGACAGGCTCTTGACTTAGGACAGGTACATAAGTAATTTGACGAAGTCAGACATGTTTGTGGGAGCTCAACCCTCCCACTAACCTTGGACAGTAGTGTTACAACATAACAAAGGTACAACCTGTAAAAAACAGTTGAAAAGAGCTTGACTCTTCAGATCGTCAGAAACAACTAACAAAAAGACTGAACACATGAACAAGGTACGATCTAAGAGTAATCCCAATTACTAAAATCTAATAAAAAGCCAATTACGACTAATTAAAATTCATCTTTCCCAGACTGAAAAATAGAACAAAGAAAGAAACCTGCATATTGAAAAACATGAAACTAACAACAATCGAGTCTCACTCTGGTATTTTTTAATGTATATTTTTCATTAGTTCAAAACGAGAATGGCTATTCTCAAGTTCTGTAGCATTACCATACAAATAAGTCCATTTCGTCATCCCTTTTCATGGTGCAGGGAATAACATTTTACTGTAATAATTCTCGTTTTAATTACATCTATCATATTAGCCATTTTACATTAACTTTCATGTGCTCCGGATTGGTACGTAGTTACCAGTTTTGTTGTTTATGACAGGTAATTCCAGTGATAAATGTAAAAAATAAAATAACAAAAATACCGAACTCCAAGTAAACTTAAAACGGAAAGTCCTTTATCAAATGGCAAAATCAAAAGTTCAAACACATCAAACTAATGAGAAACAAATTTCATATTCCTGACTTGGTACATGCAATTCCTTATGTAGAAAATGGTGGATTAAACCTGGTTTAATAGCTGGCTTAACCTTTTACTTGTATGACAGTCACATAGATTTCCATTGTTGCACCTTTTTAGCCCCTTCCGGTTTCAGAAAATAGATTTAAAATCCGTACTCTCTTAGACGATGAAGGATCTTTGAAAAAGAAACTTGAATCCTTATGTCGTTGGTGATATACACGTTACTTTATTTAGCTAAACACATGATAAAAGTTGCGGACGTGACCAAGCGGACATTTGAAACCATTAAGTCGATGAAAATCTGACAACACCATGAACAAACCCCGAAAAACGACGGAAAAACAAACATGTTCACGAAAGACTATATACAAAACTATAGACTGAACAACACAAATCCCACAAAAAACCGACCGCAATCTGTTATATATAAATGTATTTTTTCAAATGAAAATATTGTGGATTCATTTATTTTCGTAGGTATCAATTTTCGTGGATTCAGTAAACATTGCATTTTAGTTGATATTTAAGTTCGTGGTTTTGCCAAAGTCTATATACAAGCCTATAGAATATTTGTATTTCGTTGAACATTTGAATCGTGGTGCGCCTATACCCACGAAATCCACGAAAATTGATATCCCACGAAGAAAAATGAATCCACAGTATCTATCAAATACAACAAAAGTCTTACAAAGTTTTGTTGAAGGCCGTGCGGATTGCTTATTTTTCTACCATCCACATCATTTGAACTCTAGTGTAAAGTTGTCTCATTGGCAATCATACCACATTTCCTTATTGATATATTACAAATCCTTATATAAGTATTTTAAGGTGCTGAAGAGATAACTAAATCAAATACCCGTAGCTTAAATTTATCTCTTATAATTAGTGGAAATTAGGATATCGGCCATCAACACCAAGCTCCTTACATGACAAAAATATTAGGATATGACTGAAAACTAACGGAGTTCCTTGCTTGAACAGGCACGTGAATATTTAGTGGGGTAAAACCTCTTGCTTTTTCAGATCTCATACACTATACCCCGTTGTAGGCCTACAACGTTGAGTGCCCTGAGAGAAACTGTTTTTGATTGAAATAATCAATATATAAATTTATAAAAATAAGGAGATGTGGTATGATTGCCAATGAGACAACTATCCACCAAAGTTTAAATGAAGTGGATGTAAGCAATTATAGGCAACCGTACGGCCTTCAACAATGAGAAAAACCCATACAGTATTGCACGTGAGTTGATCATTGTCGAAGGCCATTGGATAAAAAATACATGACATTGTTTACATCGTTGAAGGATCAATGAAATCAAACCCGAAGGATGAATGGGGTATAGGAATATGGTCATCCATTAGTCTTCTTCCGACCGATAGTAAAACGCTCGACAACGTGGGTCATTTGTTTGACTGTGCGGACTGCATAATTTCGTAGGCACATGATGTTAGAATGAGGACGTTAAATCTGATGTATCATGTATAGAAAGTACCACGATATCTACACGTTAAAAACCCTAGCAACATGTGCAGCTCTTCAAGGAGTCTGTAGGTGGACTGTATGAAGGTTTGATTTCTGTCCATGTCCAATAAATAATATTTTCTATTGGCATTCGGAATTCCCTGCCAATCATTCCGCTCGACCCCCTATTGCAGAACCTAACTATTATAAATTGAAATATTGTTAATTTATTCTCGTCCGGAAACATGCCTTATATATTTGCCATCGGACGTTGAGAAAACAAATATTAGCCAATCAATCATTAATTTAAAACCACTTAGAACGTCTGATTAAGTAGCTGGAACTGGAGGAGCCCTTTTACCTCCGTCATAAGTCCAATGCAATTATATTATAATTGAAAGGCAGAATTTTTATTCCCATAATAAGACTGCTAAATTAAAATCACTTTATCAAACTTTTAGGTGGATGATGAGGGTTTTTTTTAACGACCTTGACTACCCATGAGGGTCTTGTATGTAAGAAAATAATACAGTTTTGAGTATTAAAGGGTCATTTTATTAACTTTCTGGATAAAATTTGATATGCATTATTGACTCAGAAAATCACTCACTATATACATTTTATTATCACATGAAGTTTCAAAGAAATTGATTAATAATCATTGAATGTACTACAAATTCAAGCACTTTTACATAATTTTCATTTTGGTACATGCATGGGTATTAGATTGGTATCCTTTCAACTGGGATTTTATTCCAATTTACTTGTATCAAGAAAATCCTGAACTCTAGCTTATGTATTTTAATAAGATTACTTAAATTCAAATAGTTTTAAGTGACGTGCCATGATTTTTGGCAATCAATAAAGGTTTTTTAGAAAAATTTGAAAGCAAAGGAACTGATTGATAATTAGCTGTCTGCAGTTTGTACTGCTGTTTCCTTTATGAAAGATTAAAGAAAGTGAACAATAATTCCAATCGAAGGAAACGAAATGCGAGTACGCTGAGAGTGATAAACAATAACTATAAAAATTCTTTAAAGCATGTCATGAAAAAAGTGCCAAATTAGAATCAGACTTAAATGCTGCTACATAGTTATCGAATTTAATTATTTTGCCTGAAAGAACTTTTTATAAGGGAACATACATTAACAAGTATTAACTGTTCGCAACATGACACAAATATTATACAAAAACGTAAAGGAAACAATTATTTTTACTGACAGTTGATACTCGGAGTTATATCAGACCAAACAAACTTTATTAAAGTGTCATTTGATACTCGGAGTTATATCAGACCAAACAAACTTTATTAAAGTGTCATTTGATACTCGGAGTTATATCAGACCAAACAAACTTCATTTAAGTGTCATTTGAATGTATTATCAAACAGAATCCATGAATTTTGTGAAACCTTTTATGTGAATCAAAAATGGACACCCTTCAGACAGCTTGCTTTCCCAACTCTAAACAAAGCTTTGACTAAATTTTCAACTGTTGGTTTTGAATGATTCTGTTTCCAACATCGCAAAATTTCCCTTGTTTGATCCAGTAATTTATCTCTGAATTGATGCTGGATATGCTTTATTTCTGAGATATCAAGGCCAAGTTCTATACCAAGTTGTAACGAGCTGTCTCCAATATGATTGGATATATATCTCAGCACTGACATTGATGGTATCTTCTCTAAACAGTCTTTGGGAATACCTGAAAGTTCAATTGAAATAATTTATAATTATTCTCCAATAATCTACATCCATGATTATAAATATACATTAAACGCCATTTTTAATAATGATATTAACAGTACAAATTGTAATGCATACCATGCAAATCGGGCAGCTGCAATCATAATTTGAACAACAGTGATCTTATCAAGTTTGAAGAGAAGTTAACGAATCAAAATCGAAAAGACTACAGGCTGCTTCAAAGAGGTTGACAATTTAATAAGGATATAAATAAGCAATTTTAATTGTGATCTTCATACAATTTGACAACAAACATCAGAAGATAAAACAAGTATTAAGTCTAAGACATTGTTTGCAATTTAATTTTTTTTTATTTCAGATAGTATATGTTGTTTCCTGTCATGTTTTATATCTCCTGAGCCGATAAGACACTGATAGGGAATATGATCCCATATCCCCTGTGAAGCCCGAATAACAAAAACATTATACTGGAGTGTCCTGATTCAGCACTAATTACTATTTTTATCTTTGTTTTCCTTCACATGGTATATGGCCTCATATCCTCTGCTTATTAGCCAATCAAATTGCAGAATTAACCTGGATATTTCACTACATTATAATATGATATATTACTTACCAGAATGTGGATCACTGTCTCTCAAAATCTGAAAGTAATAACTTTCGTTAATAGTTAAAAAAAAAACACATCAATAAATTATGAAACTCCCCACCCCCCACCCCCCAAAAAAAAGTGTATGTGCTATTGAAATAACTAGATACATGTTAAATTGTGTTTGGCTTTTGAATTGATAATTCATAATCAACAGACGAATACCAAGGGAACTTCAAACAATAAAATGTAGCAGTAAATGCATAATTGATGAAAGCTTAACACTAATAGAATTTGGAAGATATCGTTTCCGGTTTATTGTGCGGTTGTATGATGCGGTTCGTGTTACTCAGTCTTTAGTTTTCTACGTTTTGTTTTGTATACTGTTCTCTGCCTTTGCATCGTTTGTTTTTTTTGTTTTTTTTATTTCATTGTCAGTTTGTTTTTCGACTCATGAGTTAGAATATCCCTTTGATATATTTCGCCTCTTTACAATCAAACCTAGACGACCATTTAACCTTGCACTGTTGGGACTAACGAATGAAGTATCATCATTTCTGTAGCCATAGGACATTTTAAGAAGCGTCTTTCTTGCATGTCTTTTTTACATTTCATAGAAAAAACTTATTTCATGTAACATCAGATTATTCTTAAACACTTGATTTAAATAGTTGATTGTCACAATGTTCTAACAATGAAACAATTGATTTATTACCTGACATAGAATGTGTTTGTTGATTTGACAATTTTCAAGTGCTTTTTGCAGTTTTGAAAATGAAGCATCTTTGTTTTCCTCCTTCCATTTGAGAACAGCCATGAATTTCAGATCATTTGGATTTTGATGTTGGAACTGATATTCTAGATTTTCCCATGTATTAACTGTAACCCCTAGGTTAACAATAACATCTCTGCATTTGTATGGTTCTATTTCTGCAACAAGTCTTAGTATATGTTTTTCAAGAGGACATTGCTCTAGTTCGAGTCTTCCAAGACCTAGTGAAAAGAAAATGATCGAATAAATAGAAATTACACAGTGAAAAGAAAATGATCGAATATATAGTAATTTCACAATGCATATCAATTATTGCGATGAACATAATTTCAGAACAGAAATATTATATGCGTGACCATTTTTTAGGCTTTATCAACGCCAATGTACTCTTACACTCATATATTTAATGCTACTTAACTTGTTTTGGGTAGTGGTTTTATTTAATATGAGTTAGGTAATTGTCTCGAATATGTTTAGACAGATAAAACAATTACCAAAAATGTTGAAACCGATTTTAGCTTAAGAAAGGATTCATAAGGTAAATGCTAAATCCCTCATTTATATCAAAAGGATCACTAATTGTTATACATTAGACCACTCAGTCTGTTAATTCATTTATTTCGTGTTACCAATTGTCGTGAATACACAGCATTCTTTACATGAGTCTGACGTTTATGCTTTTGAAACCTGGCATCTTTGATTATTTTTGTTTTCAGATATAATCGAAACTGGCAAGTATGCTTCATATCTAGACATCTTTATTAAAATTGACACCAAGGGTTGACTTTAATCTAAAATTTATGAGAAATTGACGATTTCAGAATTCTTGTTGTCAACTTCCCATTTCTTAGTAGTAGCAGACTCTGTCCCATTGTATGTCGTTTTCATATCTCAATTGATAAGTTAAACAAATGTATTATTATATCATACAGACTAAATTAACAGGTGTGTACGGCTAACGACAAAACTTGTTACTGTGTCACTATCACGAATGTTTTAACCAATACGGTAGGTTTGAATATCATGTCTTCCAATTTAGAATATAATTTTTACGACAAAGTGTCATAAAGATAAATGTTCTTACCTTCACAATTTTCTTCACATTTTTCACAGGAAACCTAAAAATATATTTACTTTTAATATTCGTTCATATAACATGTACATAAGGTCGCGAGTAATTTTAATCTTTACCCTTTGATGAACAATTTACATCTTCGTATGCATACATGTTCACTGACGTATTATGTTGGCGTTTGTTTTTGTTGCACGTCAGTGTTCCTGTTGTTCCTTTGTTTTCCTTTTATAGTTGATATGTTTCCCTCAGTTTTAGTTTGTAACCCGGATATGTTTTCTCTCAATCGATTTATGACTTTTAAACGCCGGTATACTACTGTTGCCTTTATGTATACTTCACATTAGTAACCTATCATTAATTTGGATCGTACAAGATCACACATACCGGTTTCGGCACATTTAAAATGCTTTCGAATCTAGTTGCTTAAGCAGCTGTTTTATAAAGCAGATGGATAATGTGTGTAACAAATAATTAAATAAAATGATATTTAATAAAAATGAAGTTTAAAAAATACTTCATTAGTTTTTTTTTGCATATTTAGGTGTGAAATTTAATATTACTGACAAGATAATAAAGTATGACCAATACGACTTCGCACGCAAAGTCGTACACAGTATACACCCTACTTAATTGACATTAACGAAATTTTCTTGTTATTTGAAACTCATAATATGTCAAGGTATCACAAGACAGTAAGTGATGGTTTGCTGTTGCTGAAAATCGTATACACTAAACGTTAAAAAGTAAAATTACACTCACTTATAAATTTTAACTTGACATGAATTATAAAAAAGATTATTCTTTTAAACTTGAAAAAAATCAAAAGTTAGACTATATCAACCATCGTAACGAATGAAAAGCAACTGTCATATGCCTTACTGTACTTTGTTGCAATGAATTTACTGCAGTACACGTACCTAGTTTGTATTGTCTTTACTGCCAGGATCAACTAAGAAATTTGTTATGTTACTTTCGCCTGTTCAAGATTAAGTATTATTTATGATACAATAAATATGGAAAACTGATAAATCGATAAAAGTCTATGGTTGTTTGGAGGGTATGCATTTAAACCAGATACTATTCAGATACTCCTTACCTTTTCAGCAAACCACATGGAAAGTTGTTTCACCTCGTGAGGTGTGCCATGTGGACAAACCCATGTACATCTTCCTGTAGTTGGCATATCCCTATGTGGAAAAAAGCACACGGATTTGCGGAAAAGACTTTCACAGATTACTCCGAAATCTATTTCAAATGGCGTTGAGTATTTTGCATTTGGATCTCCATCCTCTGACAACAGGGAATAGAATTCTGATATCCGATGCACAGCAGCCGTAAGACATTCTTGAACAGAAGAAGCTAACGTTGGTACGATATGTGCAACATCTTCAGTATGAATGAGCAAAACAACGATTCTTTTGCCTTTTACCTGGACTGCTACATCATGGTTCTCGTCGACCTCAACAACTGCAAGGTTGGAAAACGCCATGCTTGACCCTTTATAGGTTTTTACTTCCCACATAGTAACCAACGAGGCAAGAAAACGATAGATCAATGCAGGAGGTATCACCTCTTCAACAAATCTGTAGGCCATGATGATTGAATTCTTAGAGCTGCATCTTCTTGTCATATATTTTGTGTTATCATGCTTTCGTATCATACAAGGCACAAGGAAATAACAAGAAACTAGTGGTGAGTGATAGTCATCTTCTGTGAGATTTTGTGGAGGAACAAGTATGTCCAGGTACACTAAAATGTTTATCATAAATTCTCTATACGGTACTATCTGTTTGAATGCTTCCTGGTTCCATAAGGCATACATGTCCATCCTTTCTATTCTACCAGTGTCCTGCAAAGACCGGAAGATCTTTACCATTTTTTCTTCTTTTGGCCAAAACTGCTTGTCTGTTATAATTGATCTCAGAACTTCGATCAGGAAAACAGGATTAATGATGATATAGTCACGAAGGTTGACCTCATCAAAGAAAAGCAACTTGCCAAGTGAATGTTGGACTTTCAGGAAGGTGTCTAGCTGCTTCTCTGACAACACTATTGATTCATTTTTGGTGTTGAGATCCTGTAACTGCTGTTTGGAGATGATATGTTTGCCGAGTTCCACCTGTTCAGCTATCTGTAACTCTAATGGAACCCATGCGGTTGGCATTTCTTCGCCCCATCTAGGGTGATCAGAGGCTCTTTCAATCAGACGTTGACGAAGAAGATCTATTTCTGGGTCGTTGATATCGGTGGCGTTTATGAAAATCAGAGGCTTGTATTCCAAATGAGGAAGACCTGCGTGTGATTTGAACAGTTGATAAAGTGATTCAATCAACTTCTCTCGGCACGATTCAATTTTATCCTGCAATGTAAGAATCTATTTATAGACTTTGCTTTTGAAATTTAAGGTTGATCGTGACATTTGAACTGCATGGATGTAATGACTAAAATTATCTATAAATACGAGGTCTGTTTTTAATAAAAGGTTTAAACGTTCGATATAGTATTATTGCCTATCTTTACCGTATCTATAAACTAAATACTAGTAATGTGATTAAACTCTAGACATAGACACATTGAAATCAGTTCAATGAATGAATACAGTTTGTATAAAGTCGATATTATGTCATGAAGATATATATTAAAATAGCCCATGTTTTTAACAACAAGCTGTGACTGATTTCTTTATCTTGATCAATGGAACCAACAATTTCTTTTAAAATTCATTTACAGAAGGGCTTTGCATTTAAAAAAAAAACGAAAAGATACCGAGGCGAAACCCATTAGTCGAAACAGATCAAATCATGACCAAAGGTAAAACGACGAAGAGACATAATGTTGTACGTTTGTTTTTTCTACATTGGCTAGAGGTATAGGGGGAGGGTTGAGATCTCAAAAAACATGTTTAACTCCGCCGCATTTTTGCGCCTGTCCCAAGTCAGGAGCCTCTGACCTTTGTTAGTCTTGTATCATTTTTAATTTTAGTTTCTTGTGTATAATATGGAGTTTAGTATGACGTCCGTTATCACTGAACTAGTATACATATTTGTTTAGGGGCCAGCTGAAGGACGCCTCCGGGTGCGGGAGTTTCTCGCTGCATTGAAGACCCATTGGTGGCTTTCGGCTGTTGTCTGCTCTATGGTCGGGTTGTTTTCTCTTTGACACATTCCCCATTTCCATTCTCAATTTTATAATCCACAAAACACCATAAAAAAAACAACACTTTGTTATTTTCATTCGTTCATGGGCTGTTATGGATTTACCTTAATCAGGAACGTTCAAAGCCGAATATTTGAAATCCACGAAAGTATAAGAAACAGTTGAAAAGCTACATGACCAAATGAACATAAAAAATATAGCCAAATTCATCTACGGTCAACTTTGTCTGAGGGAGTTGAAACCTTAGTTTACTAATAATTTATCAATTTATAAGGTAAGGTTTGTTATAAATCATGACAGTACTGAAAAACTGACTAATGAACTGATGATATCCTCGGGGACTGATATTTAACCAGCAGCAGTATCGACCCAGTGCTGTAAAAAAAATATATAGAAACAACACTTTATAAATGTTATATGTCCGAAGCGCTTTCCTGGCTTAACCATAATAAGGAATGCTCAAAGCCGAATATTTGAAAGCCAAGAATGTATAAAACAGAAACGTGTTGCTTAGTCTTTAGTTTTCTATGTTGTGTCATCTGTACTATTATTTGTCTGTTTGTCGTTTTATTTTTGGCCATGGCGTTGTCAGTTTGTTTTCGATATATGAGTTTGACTGTCCCTCTGGTATCTTTCGTCCCTCTTTTCTTGAAGAGCTACATGACCAAAAAGAACCTTAAAATACCAGTAATAGCCAAATCCATCTATTGTCAACTTTGCCTGAGGGAATTGAAACCTTTTGAAACCATAAAAAAACCAATGATGCATAAACAATAAATCCAATTAAATCCGGGTGGTGCATTGGAAGAGTCGGTGGTTCATCCTCCTATAGTGACACTCATTATGTTACTCCGTTATTGATAAATGTCTGGTGTTCATGCATCACGCTATACATGATTGGTTTAATGTGTTTGTCAGCCATTTCCAAATTTATAAAGCATCTGTGTATGTAAATTATTTAACCCATACATGACCAAATATCTTAATTGTTTATGAAAACAGAAGCTATAGATAGTACCATTATCAAAATAATATGTATAAAACGCAGATTTTGACAAATATAGAAGTACATTTTGATAGTATGAGGCAAATGTTGAAATTAAAATTGCAATATTCAAATATACAAGTTATTCAAAACATTCAAAGTCAATTCACATGACTGAAGCTGCAGGGCCAAATAACCTCCATGGAAACGAAAAATGTCATGATCATACAACTGCATATCAAATACCTCTTGCTTACCATAAGTGCTTTCCGTTAAACTAACCTAATCCCAAACTTAAACTGTAAACTATACAAACGTTTCAAATTCAATAAACCATGATGAAGTGATGGTGCCATGGAAATGAGACTTGAAAATGTTAATACAACTGCGAACCAAATATCCTTGACTTAACATTAGGGGTTTAAATTTAAATGAACTATCAGTAATCACAAACTTTAACATGTAACTATGCAAAACATTCAGTCAACAGACACTGACTGAGGGGGTGGGGCTAAATGATCACAATGGAAATGAAATATGCTAATGCTTCTACAATTACAAGTAAAATATCATTGACCTAACACTAATGTTTCTCTTTTAACTGACCTAATACATGTAAAAGAGCGGTGAAAGATACCAAATGGATATTCAAACTCATAAGTAGAAAACAAACTGAAAATGCCATGGCAAAAAACCACAACCGACGAAAAGACAAACAGTACACAAAAAACAACATAGAAACCTTAGGACTAAGCAACACGAACCCCACCAAAAGCCTATGATCTCAGGTGCTCCGGAATTGTAAGCAGATCCTGCTCCACATGTGACACCCGTGGTGTTGCTCGTGTAAGTACAAATCCTGTGTTAAGTCTAATTCGGTAGGTCACATTCGAGGAAAATAGGACGGGATTGAGGTTATGACAACTGGTACATATCCGTCGTCATCTGTGAAACAGATATTCCATATCGATCAACCAACTTGTGATGGCGTCCGTAAGATTTGCGAAGGAATGATTTCAACTTCTCCCCGTGGAACTCTTGGTTTAATATCTTTTTTGTAAGCAGCGACCCTCTTTTAAGAAAATAATGATAGGAAATGCAATTCTATGCAATAGTTTTAAAGTCATTAGGCCATAATTGAAGGGGAAGGGCCAAAACTATCAATGGAAATGAGATGTGCCAATGCTTATATACCGTCAAGCCAAATATCATAGACCTTTCAACAGTGGTTCCCCATAAACTCATCTAATCATAAACTAATACAATGTTGACGCAGCTGGAAATAGAACGCTTAAGTCTCAAGGCGAGACAAAAATTAGGGGGTAAACTAAGGTGCTCCGGAAATATATGACGTATGTCAAGCATCTATTGAATTTACTTTGACACATGCATATTATGTTTACTGGATAAGAGAAAACTATAAGATTTGTTCTACCTTTTGAATTCTATCTTTATGCGTTGCAACCAACAAAATTCGAGGAAATCCTTCAATGCTCTTCTTGCAGTAAGTCAATATTGAATTCACCCAATGTACTAAGTAAACTGAAATCGAAATATTTACTGATATACAAAACGTTCGTATAAATATACGGAGATATTAGCTGAAGGTGAATGAGACAGCAATCTAAAAACATTATAAAACAATGAAACTGATACCATATGTCAAAGATTTCTCAGAATTATAATTTTAAATGCAGTGATATATCATATAGTCACATACCTTTTCAAAATGTATGCCTATACCAAGACGTCATAAAAACTTTACAGGACTGTCTTAAACCTTTTTTACAATATTATTTTGGTCTACAATTTGAATAATTGTTAAACATAATCATGTTTTGACATTTCATATTCTGCTGTATATTATGCATATAAACAGAATTTTGTTTTTCTTAAAATCTACTGCAAATGACAGAATTCCATCTTTAGTGTAATTGTGCATGCTTGATGCTTAGTATATCCGGTTAACTCCTCATACAGTTTCCAAAGAAAACTTTAATATGTGGGGTATTATACCATGTGATCAGGATTTTAATTTTCCTTTTTTTTTGTTAGATTGTAATATTAACAGAACCATGGTGTATCGCAAGTGTCTTTCGCACACAGCCATCTCCTAATTGTGCTTGAGCATTATTGTTTACTTAATCCAATGTTTGTAGGACTATTTTCAAGCATGCAAAGGGAGCATCATCTTTGTCAAGTTATTTTAATATTTCAGTCAGACAAGATTAAAATGTTCTTAATTGATATGAAATGCAAGGCAAACTTATGTATGTGTACCTGCTGCCGATGGCTCCCGATGGCTAGCTATTGAGGAATCATACTCTAAGCGAAGACTATGACAAGCATTAAACATCAACACAAATATTCCACGACTAGTTATAAAGAGCTGATGTGTCATGTAGAATTCCTTCTGACCACCAAAATCCCAGATATCAAAAAAGACTATATTCTGCTTGTACTTTCCTTCTTTAATTGCTTTGAAGATAAGATGTTTCAATTTTCGTTGCGGGATATTGCTTGACAATAAGTTCCGGAATTGTAGTTGTTTGTTTGGCACGTCATATGACGTCGTTTTTACAGATTCCGGTGAAACTGACGATTTTGCATATCTCTCATCTATTACAGGAATTTCTGAAGACGGTTGTATTGTTTGGGATTCTTTCGGTTTATCGTTAGCAATATGCATTTCTTTTTCTACCTTGTAACATATAGGCTGTTCAGTAGACTCAACCGAATTTAAACATTGTTCTCCAGCCTGCATTCCTTCCCTATCTTGCTTCTGCAATGACATTAGCATTCCGGCAACAATATCCAAATTCGTACTGCCTGTTACAAAACATTAAACAATATTAGTATATGTTAGAGGGCGTTGCGAGACTTCTTTGACATGCAGAGAGGTTTATACTCCCTCTATAGGAGGGATTGGATTTAGCGTATCCGCTCTAACCGAGGGTGGCTACGTATTTAAACACCGCGCAAAGCCAAATATACCACATCTTTAGCATGTTTTCCATTACCGGTTTGAAGAAGTCTAAGTTATTTATATCTATACTCTAGTTTGACAGAAGACGACAACACATGTCAAATAATAGCAAAAGATCGCATATTCTATGGGGCAAGGAGAGCTAAAACAAACATTTAATCGACCCGGGTAAATATCGTTGAATATAAAAGAGCGAATGAATTAGTGTATTTCTGTCGGACAATATAGTATTTTTTCAATACCTACAAAGTTTCTCCATTTACCAAGATTGTTATGAATATGTAAAAAAAGTATTAACAAAATTACCGGACTCCAAGGTAAATTCAAACAAGGGGAGTCGATAAAAACTGACAAAATAAAACGTTAGAAATTATCGTCCAACGGAGCGAATTGGAAACAACGGTCATATTCCTGGAAAATGGTGGGTTTAATCAGGTGTTATAGCTGATTAAACATCCCAATTATATGACAGTTGCTTATAGTTCCGACATATTGACAAAATTGGGTAAGCAACCCAATGTGACATTATAGTTAAATGTGACAGTTAATGGAATCCAGCAGCCAAAACCGTGTAAACAAACATTACAGACATACATTACAACTGATTAAAACATTCATACAAACTTTCCAAAAGAGCTAACAAAGACGCCAACAAAACATTAATTGTAGTTGATTGTAAATCAGACAAAGACTCCAACAAAAAAAAAAGTTTGGGTACTTACAGTTATATAGTAGTCATACGACAGAAATAAACATGATAACAAAAACAAAAATTCAGGGAAAAATGTCAAGTAATTTAAAAGATACACAACTCCAGCATCTAGAATCTATAATTCAAGACCATCTTGCATCATTTGTGAAGTAGACATTGGATATTTATCTATTAGGTCGTTGTACTTTCAAATAAACTTTTTGAGAAAAAGTTCGAGACGTTCTTTAGCAAAACCCTGACGCATTTCTTTTTAGACACTGTTGACATTGAATATCGTATGAGTTGAGAAGTATACTACATACGCAGATGAAGTTAGCATATTGCTGCTAAGGTGAGGAATATTTATAATTTCAAAATTAAAATCGTTTCGTTTATCACAGATCAAAGTAAAGAGACATTGTGAGATGACCATTATAGTAAAATTCTAGGTATATGTCTATAAATGAGGCGAAGGAAGCTGTACCTGTGGTTTCCTTAATCTCTAGTTCAGGAGGATATATTAATGGCAGCTAATTAGAAAAAGTTTGGATTGTTAATGGAAAGAGCATCATCAATATACTTGTATGCGGAATTAAATGAAATAATTGTGATACTTAAACTTTTCACTCAACACAACACAACAAACCTTGAGGCAAACAAAGCCATTTCTTGTCATCGAGATTCATTCCAGCCTTTCCTATGTGAATCCAAATTCCATCCGTAGCTCCACGCTGTTTTGGAAATTCCTCACCTATAAGGACCTTCGCTAGCGTAGTCTTTCCTACAAAAAACTGCCCAACGAGAAATATTCTGTTCCCATAGCAACGATATGTTCCAAGCTTCATTATTTCTTGTAAATCTTCAGTTGTTTCTAGCCCCAGCAACTCCAACTCATCATTTACTGTAATGGGTTGATAAATATGATTTAACTGTTAAATAACAATTTTGTAACTTGGGCAACCTCGCAATTTTTGCATATGCCTGTCTGAAGTAAGGAACCTCGTATCGGGTTCCGGTTTTGTCGTTTTGGGATTTGATGTTGATGGATGAAAGATTATGTATGTTCTCTGTTAAAATCTGATTTTTTTCACAATTATTTATTGTTTGACTCATTGTATAATGTATTTATCAGATTTTCACATCAGTAGACTTCTGCTTCGTCTTATTCATATTTGGTGTACATTTTCTCAAAACTGTGTTTTCAAAACTTTGCTTGTTAGAAAAGAAATCATAAAACATAAATTACCATTTTTTATATTTTTTTTTATCTTTCTTTATACCTACTTATATTTGAAAAGTAGATGTGCCCACTTATTCATGTTATTAGTGTGCCAAAAAGCTTGTACATGTATAATCTTCCAAATTATGTTGAAGATTATATTTTCATTAATGATAACAAAATGACCTATAAACAGAAATCAAAACAATCATCAGAACGTGTAGTAAACAGATGCCACCAAAACAAAAAACTAAATATATTGCAATTCATTCAAATATAATTCATTCACTACTAGCATCATTTCATTAATTAAGTATCAGGAATAATTCATTAATCATAGGTCTTGTAAAAAAAAAGGTTAAAAAATGGACGTTCCCCAATTATATCATCATCTTTATATTTCCAAACAAGTACTGAATAAAAGGAAGCAAATTTTCAAGCATCACAGCTGGTCCTATATGCATATACTGTGATGTGTTTGCAAGTGTTGTACTTTATAAAATTCCGACAGTTCCATGTAATTATTGTTTACATCGTTCTCTATACAATTTTGCAATTATAATTTTGAAAAAGTCGATGGTCAAAACATATGGTAATCTGTAACATTCCTTATGTACAAATGATGTATTCAATGTATAATTCTAATTTTTTTTTAAATATATATATTTTATATATTGTGTTTTTTGAATTCTGAAATACACTATGTGATTAACCTCAACGTAAGGAATAAACAAGTCTTCATAATTTAAGAACCGGTATTTTCCAAATACAATGTCATTATGTGTCACGGAATTGGATGTTATAATTTGAATCTCAAAGGAAAAAGCTTTCTTTTGCAGCTGTGATTCTAATGCTGATGGTTACCAGGATAGTTTGAAAATATGACTTCCCCCCTGGTTTTTGGTAGGGTTTGTGTTGCTCAGTTTTAAGTTTTCCATATAGGGTTTTGCAAACTAGTGTTTATATTTGGGTCGTTTTTTTCGGAATGAGTTACGATTTTTTATTATCCATTTGGTATCTTCTGTCTCGATTTACATCCATCAAACATAGCAATAGCTATAAATAGGGAATAATAGATCTAATATTTTAACTAGGAAATTATCAAATCAAAGCAAGTACAACAAAAACAATTGCTCAAAATGAACATTGTTTTTAATGTAAAATGTCTTGAGTAAAGTTGAAAATCATTTAAAGTTTGCTATTCATATATGTTTTACAAATCAAGATATTGTTAATAATTTTTTTTTTGTATATATATATATGGCACAGATGATGTATTCATGCAATCGTTTATTTTATAATCATTATCATGTTTATTTTATGTGCTCTTTAATATATTCATATTCATAAGTTCATCAGACTTTTCATATGGCATTGACCTGACCTGACCTGACATGACCTGACCTGACATGACCTGCCCTGCCATTATGTGTAGGTTTATATGTGTACTAACATTTATATGCACGAGTAGTTTTGTATGCATTCAACGGGTAGAGTTGAAATTCTGAGAGTACTTACATACATGTATCACTATTACTCTTAGTTCAGTAGATGATGTATACGGTCGTTTGGGAATAATATCCACGGCTGTTGTTTTTGCAGGTATTTATGATTCTATAATGTGGTTCGAACAATTTTATTCAAATCTGAATTTTTAGTTAGTGGTTTTATTTGTGGTCTGGTTATGTCGTCCATATTTTTTATATCCTTCTTGAAATTGTATTTGCTGATGTTTAATTAATAAAACCTGCTATTTATGAATGTTGTCGTGTTTTTTCAGAGAAATGACTTCACCCATTACTACACTTAGCAGTTTTACAACCGTTTCGCATACCCCAAGAGTATATGGTCCATTTTAAACTGCGACATCTAAATGCTATATACGTTTGCCTAGAAATTTCTAAAAATGTAAGAAATGCTATTCAATACTACATGCCTTCTGATAGAGCAACATATTAACAATATTTATATTGCAAAATCAATGATATAAACCTTCCTTTACTGTTTGCTGGTTTGCTGTCCCTGAAATGTGTGGACTTCGGGTTAAATTTGATTGCTTTCTTAACTTCACTGGATTAAATCTTGATTTTTTGTTTGCTTTCCTAGCTCGATCTCTTGATTCCTGCACATAAACATTAATGAAAACTATAGACAAACGACGTAAATTGCCACAACATAGTTCCAATGAAATACTAAGAAAAATTTGTACATGTTCTTGTAACACTAAAGATGTTAATGAAGTAGACATTTTAGAAACTATGATTTAAGCTTTTATAGTTAATTACTTGAGATTAACTAGTTCAGTTGCTTGAATGTCTGCTGAATCAAAAAAGAATCACTGTGGTGATAAAGAGAATGTTCTTGATTAGAATAGATTAGTATTGATTTAATATATTTTTAAACGTTCATCTTTAAATGGTATTTGAATATTTTATCCTATATAATTATAATATGAGAAAAAATATTCTGAAATGTAGAAATACAATCTTCTTTAATTTTGCAATTCTGTCGGTGTGTTCTGCCAGTCATTGATGTCGAAGAAAACTGTTTTTCACTGTGTGGTAGTGGTCAAAAACCCTCTATCTCATTGAATTTAATAATATTAACATGCTTAGTCATCGATACATGTTTTTTATTAGTTGTTATTGGTTTTGAACTAGCTGTCAGTAACTTCTAAAAGTTTTTAGTAGCTTTGAACGGTTTGGGTTGTAGCGTTCCTGGTAATCCAGAAAAGCTCTTCAGAAACACGAAATATATAGTGTTATTTTCATTTACAAGCTCCAGGTTAGTACCATTGGTGGTGTTAATCCATGATTGGTTTCATAAGCTCAGTAATCAGTGCGTCAGTACTCACATTTTTTGTAACATTCATTTTTAGAATTACTCGTTGTTAATTTTTAAAAAAAATAAGAAGCTAAGATATAACTACCTCATACAAAGTATCGTACTGTTATGTCGATTGTTGTCATATATTTCCTAACGTGTTGACGTTTTTTTTAAACCCCTGTTTTTAAATTTTGGGGTTGTAGCGTTCTTGGTGAAGGTAACTTCAGAAAAGTGCTCCGGACTTCTTTGAAACACAAAAAAATAAAACAAGAACGGACGTCTCCATGTATCAAGTGTGGAAGGACGACCATGGTAAGAATTAGAATAGAATGTAATTTACACCATATAAAAACCACAGTTACAATATATAAGCTAGCACGATATGGTCAGATGATATAATAACAATACATTTGATCGTACATACCATCTCTTGTTTTAGTCTTCGTTTTATATCTTCCGCTAAGGAACAAAAAACGTCTTCAACGTTTTCTCCTGTAAATGCACTGGCTTCCATATATTTCATATTATGTTTGTCTGCAAACTAAATAAAAAAAAAAGACAAACGAGTTGAAATGAATCGTTACCAGTTAATTATATATGTACAATGCGCTCATTCTTAATTGTTTCTATCAAATCTCATTTGCATACTTTTGCAATATAGACTAAAAACTGCAAAACAAGACACAATATGGAAGTCTAATTATTATATCAGTACACTAGAAAATATTTTGAAATTGTTTGTATATGTTAAACAAGTGTATGTTGTATAAGTGTAATGTCTGTAATATGTTCTATTATTATACCTCAGAGTTTTATTTTCTTTATCAAATCATACACGAATAAATTTACTATTTTGATGAAATTGTCTGAAAGACTATTTACCTGACTAAATGTTTCAAAAACTATTCACGGGTATTGGAAGCAGACATTTTCCCATACCTTCTGTATAAAAAAACTCTTATTTACTGGCTATTAGGACATTAGCAAGTTAATTGTCCCTCTTTACACAACTATTTCTTTCCACCTCGCTTCGGGAATTAGTTAGAGTCTCCGGGACAATAAACTTTTTATTAACCTCATAGCCAGAAAAAGGGGTATACCACCACATGCTTTTGCGGTTTTTGTTTGTTAAAACAAATTCAGTTTTTTCTAGATGAAATATTAATAATATGGATTTGATGGATATTAAATGATATGTCAAATTTAAATTTAAATGTAGCAGTCGTTTACAAAAGGATTTGCACTACACGCATGAATGAAGGAAAAACAGACACAAGACAATCAGTTATCATGTCGACGAAGAACAACAATACCATGGGAAAACACGAAATACAAAGAAAACACAAATAACCGCCTACAAAACAATACATAGTAACATGAGTAAGTTATTAAGTAAAGACTGAGCAACACGAACCCAACCAAACACAGTATATGACAGACTATGAGATGTTACATCAATTCAATAGCAATCCAACAAAATGTAATGAGAGGCGAAAGATACCAACGGGACATTCAAACTAATAAGTCGAAAACAAACTGGCGTACTATGACCTATAATGGTTTACTTTTATAAATTTTGACTTGGATGGAGAGTTGTCTCATTGGCACTCATACCACATCTTCTTATATCTATTGACAACGCAATGGCAAAAAACAAACAGAAAAACGAACAATAGACAGTATACAAAAAACAACATAGAAAACTAAAAACCGGGCAACACGAACCGGGGTGATCTAAGGCAAGGCATCTAGTAGTCGCATACTGTATATTATTATTTTCTATTGCGAATAACAAGTGCATAACTACATACAATGTACTTCTTCTTCATATTCCTCTTAAAATCAGTTTAATTGATTTATTAATAGACGGATTTTTTTATGAAAATATTTATTAACATTACCTCTTGGGCATCCTCCTGTAGAACTGCTCGGTTATGTCTAAGATCACATTTTAACCCTACGAATACTCTGTTTACTTCTTTATTACAATTCTGAAAAAAGAAAACATTCTATTTAACTTTTTGTATTGGAGAAAAGTACCTCGAAAGGATTTAAAAAGAAATTTTCACCAAATATACACTTAGATACATACATTTAATACTAAATTATTGACAGTTCGTCCCACATTCTGTCATATTTCATTCAAGAAAGAATATAATAGGGGAGGCCATCTGCCTTTTTTACTTTTACCAGGATTGTTATTGATGACGATCTAGACAGTGTAAACACGATTTTCAGTCGGCCTTTTGGAATTGTTAATGACTCAGATATGTTATCTGTTCTTCAAGAGGAAGAAGACCGGCGGAATATACCAAAGGGATATTCAAACGTAAAATCGGACAAACTCTAACAACATCATGGCACAAAATGTCACAAAAGACTGTTGATTTAGTTACCAACAGATGAGAACATGTCATACAATGTTATTGTATTTGCCAACATCACTTCTAAGACAAACGGTTGATTTATTACAAATTTAATGTGTATCTTTTTTCGGGAAAACCAAGATTTGACTTTGGCAAACAAATATGGTGACCTAGAACCCCTGTCCAAAATAAAACATTTGCAGAAGGAGTACCCTTTGCGTAATCCGGGGTGTAAGACTACGCAATCCCATCCGACCGAAATTGGGGAGTTTAATAAAAAGGAAAGATTGCAATAAGTTCTTAAAGGGGTGCCGTTGTTGACGTATTACAAGGTAAGAGTATAGCCTTACTAAAAAAGCCCTCTTCTTCTGTGGCAGTCAAAACTAACTGCCCTACATCCTGTTAAATCAACCTTGGAATTTAGTTTGATATGTTTTTGTCTTTAATATGCCTCAAATATTGGTCTCTCAGTAATAAGCACAAAATTAATCAATCAAACAATAAATCGATAACTTATCATCCGATTTTTACACGTAACTACAATCGGCAGCGAATGTTACAAAAATTAATATATATGGTTCCAAAACCTTACTGTATTGTACGTGTACAGGCTTGAGATCAAAATGGCAGTTTAAGACTAAACACATTTACTTGTGAAAGTACACTTTGTAATTGTTAAAAGTATACGATCATACATACTTGATTGATAATTGGAATCATCTCACTTGCACTCAGGAAGGATTTTTGGCTTTGAATGTCATAGGTCAATATAATGCCCTACAAATAAAAAATAGCAAGATTAAAATTAATTTATAACATATGTCGAAGCATGTTAATTTCATCAGCGTAAACATGTTTGAATTTATAAATATAACAAGAAAAATATAAAATAAAATAACAATGTAAATCTTGTTGGTCATATTAAATCGTGTGTCGACGAAATTTACTCTATTTGTTTCTCTAACATTGTAATATTTTTATTTTTCACATAAGACAAAGTTATGTTTTTTTATACTTCAATCATGTCTCGTAATATACAGTTACATCTTTGGTGTCTTCGATGATTTTCTCGACCAATCAGAGATCGATCTGCTATCGTTGTTCATTTAACTTTTTCTTTAAATTAACACTTTAAGCTACGCCTCTACCAAACCATCCTTGAATGTTAGATGCCAACAATTCTAATGCCTTGTAAAAACGGACATTTCATACTTTAACAATAAGAACATTAACGGTATATATCTTACTTCATCAGATGCACATTTTGACAATCAATGTCTTAAAAATGAGGCTCGAGGCAGATATATTTGAAATTCTGAAAACTAATACAAACATTGTTGACAACCGTAAGATGACATGAAGTTGCTTACTTGGACTTCATTTTATAACTGGTGGATAGCCTTTGGCCAAAATATGGCTTAGAAATGAAAATAACACTTCCTAGATTTCGTGCGACCGAACCGAAGAGCTTTTCTGAGGTTATCTTCATGAGGAACGCAACAACCCCAATGATTTGAAGTCCAGGGATTTACAAAACCATAGAAACGTTATTATAATGAGCTTTATGACCAAAAGGGCCGAACAATAGCAAAATTTATCTAAGGTCAACTTTGCCAGATAACGTACTTTGTTCAAAAGCAATAAATCTTACCTCGGCACCAAAAAGATACACTGGCAATAACGACCGGGTTTCCCCTAAGCTGTTTGTATCCCTATGAAAAGAATTATCTCAGAATATATTAAAAAGTAAAATAACAAAAATACCGAACTCAAAAGAAAATTCAAAACGGAAAGTCCCTTATCAAATGGGAAAATCAAAAGCTCAAACACATCAAACGATTGGAAAACAACTGTCATATTCCTGATTTGGTACAGGCATTTCCTGATGTAAAAATGGTGGATTAAACCTTGTTTTATAGCTAGCTAAACCTCTGCCTTGTATGACAGTAGACATTGTATAATTAATTGTTCAAAGATTTTTCGACGATTGAATGTTTGCGGTATGTTAGCATTATTAAAGCCATAGTGTTGTAAACAATCAATCAAACTATATATATACTGTTTCTTTGACTATATAGTCATCAATTGATAACAAGAAATCTGACATACTAGTAAGAAAAACGACAATATAGTCATCAATTAATAACAAGACATCTGACATACTAGTAAGAAAAACTGGACAATTATAAACATATAATTATTTACATGCATGCAAAATAATATAGCATAATTCCAAATTATCTAAAAAAATTAATGCCTCAAAATTGTTAGTAGAAACAAAATAGAAATAATGCGAGTACTACATGTTGAACAACAATAAGGTGTTGTAAATATTGACAAACGGTGTGGTAAATTATTTAGTTGAAACTTGCATGTGTACTTTAATTGCGAGTCAGACCACTATCTGAAAATTTATTGTGACGTCATGAATGAAAACTCTTTTTGTTTTGTGTTACCTCAACTTTAAAATGCACATAAATGGAAATCTTAAATAAAAATAAAAAAATAAATAAAACAAAAAGTCCAAATAAGGCCTTTATCGCTCCTTGCGCTTTGATATACAATTCATTATGACCTATTATCGTTCCTTCAGACACGGGTATATTTTCTCGACTTGCATACTCCATTCTTAGATAAAAACATACAACGTATGTATACAAGATGACTGGACCATCATTGATGTAGTAACATTATTTTCAAACTGTTGGTACACGTATGTCCTTTCATCGTGGATCGTTTCGTCTACAAATTTCTTGTTGTCGAAATACTTTTGTCCGCTGGGATAGGGTCTGCCCGCTGTATAAAAGTGGTTTATATATTTTTTGTTTATGCAGATCTTTCTGTCGGGGTCCGTGATTTGGTCTTACAGCATTATTGGGAAAAACTTCAATTTGTTTTCTAAATCATAATCAAGTCTACATTCAGTTCTCTTTTATCAGTGTCCGAAATGTCTTTTTTTCTCTCCACCATACATGTTGATAGAAAACCAGGCTTGTTCTTTTCAAACGTTGCAATGTTCCGGAAATTCAACACTCAATTTTACGGTCACCATCACGAATCGGTTGTTCGATACGATTTGCCGGTGTCTCAATTCATTAGCGACATGTTTCTTTAGGTCTTGGACCCTAGAAAGCAGTATAGTCGTCTGATTTGTAATATTATCGATTGTGTTCTATTGTCATTAGTGACATTTTTACTTGGTGTGAATTTGCATGGCAGGTGATGAATGCATAAGCAGGAAACTCTAGCCCTGTTGACACACCGGGTCACGCTTATTTTGAAGGTCATGCGATTCCCTAGTGATTTACTTTAAGTTTGTTCTTATGCAATATAATTCTCCTGGTTCAAAAGTTTTATCTCCAAAGCTGAACATAGATAGTTTTGCAACAGAACAATAATAATGAAAGTAATGAAAGTTTATCTTCTATGAATTTACCTAGTAGTCAGCACTTCTGTGTCGACATGAATTATCATTGATATGGTCATAATTATAAACTAACTGTTTACAAAACTTTGAATTTTCGAAATACTAAGGCTTTTCTAAATGTACCTCAGGAGTAGATTACCTTAGCTGTATTTGGCAAAACTTTTAGGAATTTTGGGTCCTTAATGCTCTTCAACTATGTACTTTATTGGGGCTTTTTAACCTTTTTTTATTCGAGCGTCACTGATGAGTCTTTAGTAGATGAAACGCGCGTCTGGCATACAAAATTTCAAATCCTGGTATCTATGATGATTTTATTTACTGCATTTTTGGAAGTATATGTAATGCCAGTTATTTTCATTTTGATTGATGCGTAAACTCGATCTTTTATCTTCACCTAGAAAATTTTACGGAAAGTTAGAGTTTATTCAGTCAGTTTGTTTATATGCTTCAATAACTGTTTCAAAATAAGGACTATTAAGTGCTTGTAAACGCACAACTATTTTTCAAATTTTGAAATGTAAAATCGTTTGATTTTGTATTCATGTGGTTCTTTTAAATGGTCATTCTTTCTCATCTCAACGGATACACGTATCAAAGGTTACCTACCATATGTTAAGCATCACTTTAGTTTTATCTACAGATATAGACTTTTCATAATAACCACAACCTGCAATAAAATTCAAAATATCTTAAAAGGGTTTTGCCAAACGATGACCATCTGTGGATGTTAACCATAGAATTTATCAACACTTTTGTAAAGTGAACTGAAGTTTGCAGTAAATTATTGAACGGATTAAATGGTTGATTTATGATAATTGCAAACCATTCAAAAGACAGATTACTGGTCAGTGTTGGAGTCGAGTCCAAATAACACCAATCAACTATCAATTCAACCTTTTATAGATTCGCACGTCCATATTACGTATAAAAATATAAATTAATGATTTTCGTTTTTAATGGGTTCGTCGAATTATCCGTGTCGAGGAAATGATAAATTAGTCTTTCCAAAATAAGGTATTTTAAAACGTTAGAAAAGAATCAATTTAATATATACTAACCGACAAAAGAAACAAATTTCTGCAGTCATAAACATCAATTTCCGTGTAAAGGAATATTTTTTAAAATTTAGTTTTGACATTTTCAACCAAAAAACGCAACAAATTGTGAAAATTCTCGTGTTTTTATTCACATGAAAACAAGGTTAATGACTTCGATGTTCAGTCTCTCGATCGATTTTATTTTCTAATGACCTGCAGTTTGACTAATCCTCGACTTGATTTTTGACTTTATTTACTGAAATCCTGAATGTCGCCAAAAAAAAGAACAATAAAATTTCTGTATAAACCCGTGCATTAATTTTGAATCAAGGTTATGTTAAAATATACTACAATTTTAAAAAGTATTTAGCAAAAACAAGATATTATCAAACTACTGTATATTGGAATGAGGAGTGCGTTACATGTATTGGGTTGTTAGTATAGTAAACTATATTTAAAATTATAGAAAAGAAACGATTAACGAATTCGCAGTCTCCACAGCAATGTTTACATAAAATATACCATACCTATTGTATGACCTAATAACTTGTAGGTGTTGGCGGCGAATCTGTAAATAAAAACTGACTTTCCCGTAGCGGGTTCTCCTGCTATCACTATGATGTTAAAACTGAAGTCTTTACTTTCCGCCATGATTACATTTATCCTACACAGGATGTACAACTTTATTACATCGGATGTTAAATGACCGTGACATTGTACATGTGAACATTTGTCGGAGTCATACTTGTTTACATTTTCTAAAAAGCAAAATAACAAAAATACCAAAATCCAAGGAAAATTCAAAACGAAAAGTCCCTTATCAAATAACAAAATCAAAAGCTCAAACACATCAAACGAATGGAAAACAACTGTGATATTACTGACTTGGTACAGGCATTTCCTAATGTAGAAAATGGTGGATTGTAATGTCCTTTAACATTAGCCTCCTGTTTATATGATTCAAACGTATTGCAGTGGTACATATATAGGTTACCAAACTTTTAACAAGTGCAAAACCATCCACTTTTAAAAAATTAATACTACTTCTATATAAGTCTGTGTCTCTAGTCTTACTGAATATATGACATTTCTTAAACGATTAGATCTTTTAACGTTGATTTAAGTCATATATATTTTTATGAACACGGGGGTATGCATGTGCTAATAACGATGAAGAGCGTGGCATTCTGATGGCAACTTCCTTGTATTTAGGAAGATGCCTGCTACTAGATAAAACAAATCAAGGTAGGCATTACAACCAAACTTAACGCACTAGTAAAACACTACAGTAACTACATAATATCACACAAAAGAAAGCTCGCAGATCAATCTGCATTAGATAAACGGTATAGACTAAAACACTCTTTTACCAATTTCTACAAATATGAAATGTTGGTCATAGTAGTTTAATTGTTATTAGGGATGTCAACGAGTACTCGAGTATTCGAGTATCGTTCGGTAGTACCGAGTATCGAATACCAAAACGATACTCGACTAATCGGTTTTCTGTTAGAATATTACTGTCTTCTTTATATAAAATTGATCTTCTTGAGAACCTCTTTTCGGAAATTAAATAGGCATCACTGATTAATCATACTAGTAAATAAAATACATTTTGATTCGAATGCTTGTGCTAAATTGTCATCTAAAATAAAATGCCTCCGAAAATACGTGGGCTATACCTAGGATAACACTTTGAACTAAACATGTCTTAGCCATTCCGTCACATCGGTACCGTCAGAGCAAATATTTTCGTCTGCAAGACTGTTACCTGTTATCTTTTGTAATTCCCATCTCTATCAGGAGAACCTGAAGTTCATCCAGTAAAATTTTTTCTCTATATTTACAGTCTGTTTCCAGTCACTATACAGACTGTAATTTACAAAGTTGCAAAACCGACTGTCACCAATAATAGTTGACAAGAAAATGTTTCTAAATAAAGTAAATTCGTTGCATCCTCTGGTGACTCTCAGTGAATAGTTAAACTTCTTATCCTTACTTCCTTTGTAAACATTAAATGTGTTTTCTTAACGATTACCAAATACTATTGTTTGATATGTTTTTTTCTTCGTTATAATTTTTAAATTGGTGTTCATTAAATTATATTGATTATATTATTGTTTTTTTACTTAATTAGTACTTGTATGTAAATGTAATGAGCTATTAGTTATGGTGTGTAATTTCTTGTCCCAGATACTTATGCAGATGGTTTTTCGTCCGTTGAACAACACTCCTGAGAATGTAAAATACAAATGTTTGTGTTTCCGTGTTGTAGATATATTCCCGAATGAGCACTCGAGCATCGCTCGATAAAACCAACGAATATTCGATTAGTAATTGTCCACCGAGTTGACATCCCTAATTGTTATAAATAATGTGTTGCCTGTATAAGGAAATATCGTCTTTTTATCAGGGATACAGTTTTAGCCAAAATATTCAGTAGGAACAAAAATTAATTTGAAGAAAGACCCAAAACAGAACGGCTTTCATTTACGGTAACTTGTGATGGAGAAAATTATCCATAACTTAAGTCTTCCAAAAGAAAATTTAATTAACTTAGAATCCCTGTCAAGATGTTTTTCATTAGTCATGTTAAGTCAGTTCAGCACCAAATCGTAGACTATTTTATGGATATATCCTATATATACAGCAATAGTTTCAACCTAGTGAATGCCTTCAACATGCTCGAGTTTGTGTTACCTGTACTCCACATGGCTTAGTGAACCCGTATTTACATTAGAATTTAAAATTTATATATCAAAATCAACTCTTTTACAGAGTGTACATTTTTATTTAGTTTTTTCTATGACAGTAAAACTGTTTACACATGAAAAATTTACTGACTAAAGGTGTAAACTGACAGATGCTTTGAACGACTCTACTCTCATCACAATGATCAGTGGAACATGGAAAAATGATTGTTGGTGTATTTATATTCTGCAGGATGGAATTTGGTATGAGAGTGAGTACATAATTCGTGGTTGACTGAGCGGTTGGGTTTATGTTTTTGTGATGCCAATTTCATCTTATAGAGCATGACAAGGCGGCCATTCTGTGTATTATGTTTCTCCATTTTAGTTTAATTAGCATGTCACTAACTCTTGAGCTGTTTCTGTCAGTAAATGAAAATCTAAGCAGCCATTCTATGTATCGTTTCTTATTTATTTGGATCCTCAATAACGAAGGGGTCCCAGAATGAACTGGCATATTCTAGTGAGAGTCTTTCTAAAGATTGATATTGCCTGTTCCTTTAATAACCAAGGTGATACAATGAGGATTTGCCAGTTTTCCAGTATTTTAGCCCCTCATAAAGTCAAAACCTGAAAGTTGATGAAACCAATTGGAAGATGAGACTTAATGGTACAGTTTTGATATAATGGTGATCTAAACGTTTTCCTTAAATTTTGCATTGAAGGACGTTCCTCGCATAAATGATTTATGTTGTATCTGGACCTGGGCTTTTGTTTGGAAATTCCTTCACACTCATTTTTAAATAGTACTAATAATTAAACAAATTCTATCCAATTTGCAGTTTTTAGTAATCTCCGGGTGCAGGATTTTCTCGCTGTGTTGAAGACCCATTGGTGGCCTTTGGCTGTTTTCTGCTCTTTGGTTGGGTTGTTGTCTCTTTGACACATTCCCCATTTCCATTTTCATTTTTATACACATTTATTATTTTATTGCAATTTAAAACATTTACTTTTTGTATGCCCATTCATTTATCTTCATTACAATCTTCATACTAAATGAGTTGCAGCTGCTATTTTATGAAATTTTTTTTATATATTTTTTCTGTTCTTTATTTGCCTTATCGTTGTTTATTGTTAAAATTGATTATTTTATTTTTTTCCAGTCTTGATAATGACTTGCATTTCTCAAATACAACACAAATTATAGCCAAAAATAAATTATTTTTTTTGTCTTTTGAGAAGAAATATGCATTGGTTGTGTCCTGTTTTTTTTATTTCCAGGGAAACTTATATCATTGTTTTTGATATTAATATATTTTGATATGCAGTTGAATGGTTCATAGCGATTAAAGCTGTGTTAAGCCATATTGGCAAAATATCCTTTTCTTAAGTACCTAAGTAGGTTAACTAATGACGTGCTATGACTAGTCTTTTCTGTGTTTCCTGTATAATTTTCTTCAACATTTTGCACCAAAAATATCCTTAAATGCAGCTTTTTGATCCCTAACTGTGTATTCCCCTTGCATTCATTATCTTCCTAAACGATACTTTGTCAATGGCTGGTTACGCAACCTAACTCAAGACAGATTATGGTCAAGAATTTGGGCAGGTTTATTATCTCCCCATTATTATCCCCTACCGGAAGTTGACGTCTCTTTACTATGGAACAGACTGAATAGAAAAAAAGTTAACATTTACAGGAGGATAGGAATGAGGTCAAAAAATATTGACACATGCACATATTTGCAATACAATGATTGTTTACCTGTCCTGAAATGCCTCAGTCCTAAAAACCTTACTCCTCAAAACAGGAATGAGGTCAAGATTTTGGTGCATTTGGTGACTTTTATACAACATATTAAGCAACCAAGTTTTGGTTAACTGTGCTGAAGGAATACAAAAAAAAAATTATGCATATATCTTTAATTCTGCACCTTAATATGCAATCAAACAAATTAAACAAACTAAATGACAAAGAGAATTGTTGACCATAATAATTTGTTCAATATGTTTGAAATTTCAATTTTACTATGCCTATAGTGTAGGAGTAGTTCATACATGGAATGTAATCTGTTCATTATCTTGCAACAATTTAATTTTTGGATGTAACACATCATCTGTTTGGCTGAAAGTTTTTTGTCTATCAGCTCATAAACATAATTTTGTCATCAACGTTTGTTCATGATTTATTCCTTAAAAATGGAATATATAATTAAATTATAAGGAATGACTGTAATATTTTTTATGTCTATTCAAAATAACCTCAAAAATGTGGTGCACACTTTTAAATAACATGCTATGCAGTTATTCAGTGTGCACCACATTTTTTATGTTATTTCTTCATAGACAGAATTTTTTTTTTACAGTCATTCCTTAATTGACATACAACTCCTAATGCCATATTTTTCTATATTTATTCTTCTTTCTTTATTTATGATGGATTGATTGCTGTTTGCTTAATGACCAGCAGTAAATATTTCATTCATTTTCAGGACAATTAACTTTATGACTTGATAAATTATACCATAAAGGTTTTTGTGTCTCCTCAGGATATACAACAAAAGTCGCCTCACATTTCTATTTCTCAACCGTAACAACTAATACCAATCAAAATTAATTCATTATTGGAATAATAGTCTTTATTTATGTTTTCATAAGAGCTTATCACATATCTTGTATTATTTTAATATCCATCAACTCATATTCTTCATAGCACTATAAGGATTATTTTAAATCTGCATGTTTCCACCTGTGTTACATTTGTATTTCTTGTTTGCTTTGGTGTGTCTAACAGAACTGTTCCAGCATGTAAATAAATTTAATTATTTATAATATATTAAATCCAGAGCTTTGTTTCATTTTGAATTCTTCATATCTGTTGGCTTCTCATTCTAATGTAAATCTGCAAACTGGACACGTTCCTGACTGAAAAGAAATACATCATATATTTTAAACACTTAATAAAGATATTATGCAATCAACCATGTTAGATTTGATTTTTTTATTTGATTTTTGGTGTTTTAACGCCACTTTTAAGCACCGCTTTTGGGCTATTTCGTGGCGGCCAGTTTTTATTGGTGGAGGAAGCCGGAGTGCCCAGAGAAAAACCACCGACCTTCGATAGGAAAACTGACAATCCTAGTCAATTAAGATAGGAGTCGAGTGCACCAACAGGAGCAGGGTTCGAACTCACAACCTCAGTGTTGACTGGCTAGTGATTACAGTAGTAACTACTTAGACCACTCGGCCACCAAGGCCCCTTCAACCATGTTAGTAGAATTACACATAATTTCAACAAATCAAAAATCTAAGAACCCATTTTAACACCATCAGAACTAAGAATTCACTCTACTCTGGATTATTCACTCAACTGTGGGTTAATTATTTTTCATTGGATATCATGAGTACAGGTGAAACACAGAATTGAAATGTTAACTAATAACAAATTTTCTATAGGGTTGTTTGCAAGATTTTGACCAAAAACAGGAAATCAAATATCAACAAAATTGCAAGTTTTCCTCAATCAATGAAAAATGGTTACCAACAAAAACAAATGAATCCAACACATCAGTACCCTGAGAAAGACATTAATGTCGAGAAGATATAAAAAAGATCTACCATTCTTGATTTCTCAGATCTAGAAATAAACATATAACCCTCGATACATATTCAGTCAACAACGGATAAAATGAAGCTCATGATTGCCACGTGCTCCAGGATTTCCAGTTTCTCGCATTCATGGCAGAGATTTTCAAAGGTCAGGAAAAGCCATTATTCCTGGTTAAGTTCTGCATGAGCAAAAATAACTCTATGTTTAATATATATATATATAACAATTCATTAACTTTAAAATTATGACTTAAAACTACTGGTGGGCTGACAGGTTTTTCAACAGACAAATGATACTTCTATTGGTACCAAGTGTGCTCCAAGCATTATGGTTGGAATAAACAAAGGGTGTGAAAAATTAAGGTCAAAGTCATCAAAATTGAGTGTGGATCTTAATAACTTATAACTAGCATGATGCATCAATTGACATAAGTCAATTCTTCTATAATTGGTAGTGGGCATATCTTGACCTTAATACAAAACTTAACAATATAATATAAGGGGTTGACTCTCCACCAGAGAAAAAATGACATAGATATTATCAACTATAGGTCACTGTAGGGCCTTCAACAATGAGAAAAACCCATACTGCATAGCCAGCTATAAAAGGCTTCTACATGACAACACAATTCAACCATAGCCCTTCACGAATAAAATTAAGGTAATTTAATATTAGTATGGAACTTCATCACTCAATATGATATATCAATGAAAATTACTAATCTTTGAATTCTAGTAGCTTAGATCAAGACTTTTTTAGTTTTTTCTTTGGAATTGTCTTACATTGTCATTTTGGGGCCTTTAATAGCTTGCTATGTGGTATGGGTTTAGCTCATTTTGGAAATCCGTACAGTTAACTATTGTTGCTAACTTCTAAATCATTTGGTCTCAGCTGGAGAGTTGTCTCAAAGGCAATCCTTCCAAGTCTTCTTATTTTTAAATTTTAATACAAAACTTTACATGGAAGAATGAAAGAGTGAATGAACACACAAACAAACCATACACAGTATCCACTCAACATCTCAATTTGGTCAGGGGATAATTAAACTGTACTCAATATAAATGGTAAAATTTTGAATTAAAATAAATTTGTGCAAGTAAAAATCTCCATTCTGTTCCTGACTATGTATAATATACTTAAATGCAAGGTTTTCATTAAGAGCCGGCACCCAGCGGAATGTCGCCGTTTCAAAAGACGGAAATCGCCGGTTCAAATGCTTAAACAAAAAATAATTTTGAAGAGAATAAAATAATAAAATGCTTCGCTGGGCGCAGCTTGATACGACCGCAGAGGTCAAACCCTGAACAGTTGGGGCAAGTATGGACACAACATTCAAGCTTGATACAGCTTTGGATTTGGATTGTGATTAAATATTTGACACAGCATAGGTTTCTAACACAGATTGAATGTGGTCTAAGAACTTAAAAATTTTAAATTGGACATTCACCTATTATGGTCCAATATCCAAAATCTAAATACATGGTTAGATTCAGCATATCAAAGAACCCCAAGAATTCAATTTTTGATGAAATCAAACAAAGTTTAATTTTGGACCCTTTTGACCTCAATGTGGACAAAGTTGATAACGGGGCCCAAAAATCAAAAATCTAAATACATGGTTAGATTCAGCATATCAAAGAACCCCATATATTCAATTTTTGTTGAAATCAAACAAAGTTTAATTTTGGACCCCGATTTGGACCAACTTGAAAACTGGGCCCATAATCAAAAATCTAAATACATGTTTAGATTCAGCATATCAAAGAACCCTAAGAATTCAATTTTTGTTAAAATCAAACTAAGTTTAATTTTGGACCCTTTGGACCTTAATGTAGACCAATTTGAAAACGGAACCAAAAAATAAGAATCTAAATAAACGGTTAGATTCGGCATATCAAAGAACCCCAATAATTCAATTTTTGATGAAATCAAACAAAGTTTAATTTTGGACCCTTTTTACCTCAATGTGGACAAAGTTGATAACGGGGCCCAAAAATCAAAAATCTAAATACATGGTTAGATTCAGCATATCAAAGAACCCCATATATTCAATTTTTGTTGAAATCAAACAAAGTTTAATTTTGGACCCCGATTTGGACCAACTTGAAAACTGGGCCCATAATCAAAAATCTAAATACATGTTTAGATTCAGCATATCAAAGAACCCTAAGAATTCAATTTTTGTTAAAATCAAACTAAGTTTAATTTTTGACCCTTTGGACCTTAATGTAGACCAATTTGAAAACGGAACCAAAAATTAAGAATCTAAATACACGGTTAGATTCGGCATATCAAATAACCCCAATAATTCAATTTTTGATGAAATCAAACAAAGTTTAATTTTGGACCCTTTTGACCTCAATGTGGACAAAGTTGATAACGGGGCCCAAAAATCAAAAATCTAAATACATGGTTAGATTCAGCATATCAAAGAACCCCATATATTCAATTTTTGTTGAAATCAAACAAAGTTTAATTTTGGACCCCGATTTGGACCAACTTGAAAACTGGGCCCATAATAAAAAATCTAAATACATTTTTAGATTCAGCATATCAAAGAACCCTAAGAATTCAATTTTTGTTAAAATCAAACTAAGTTTAATTTTGGACCCTTTGGACCTTAATGTAGACCAATTTGAAAACGGAACCAAAATTTAAGAATCTAAATACACAGTTAGATTTGGCATATCAAAGAACCCCAATAATTCAATTTTTGATGAAATCAAACAAAGTTTAATTTTGGACCCTTTGGACCTCAATGTGGACCAATTTAAAAACGGGGCCCAAAATCCAAAAACTAAATACACGGTTAGATTCAGCATATTAAAGAACCCCATGAAATCAAGAATAAAACCCCATTGAAATTGGTCAAGAAATAAGCAATTTATAGGAAGTATCTTCTTTTGCACAATCCTGTGCTATTAAATATTTCTTGCTATTGCCCAATACTGTACAATTGACAATTTCTTGCTATTGCGCAATATTGTGCTATTGGATATTTCTTGCTATTGCGCAATACTGTGCAATTGAAGATTTCTTGCTATTGCGCAATACTGTGCAATTGAAGATTTCTTGCTATTGTGCAATACTGTGCAATTGAAAATTTCTTGCTATTGCACAATACTTATTATATAATAATTTACACATCCTGTTTGGTGTGTATCTCCTACCATATCATTATTATTTGATTTTAAATATAAATCAGAAATAACCAACTTAAAATGGAAAATTTTAAAAGAAACAAAAAAGGAAAAAAAGAAAAAAAAGGAAAAAAAATAAATCCCCCCCCAAAATTTTTTGAACCCCCATTATGATTCATCACCCCCAAACTCAATCCCAGCCTTCCCTTTGTGGTATGGTACCTTGCAGTACAATTTCAGAGAGATCCATACACTTGAACACAAGTTATTGTCTGGAAACTAGAAAAAAATGTGTTTTTTGGCCCCTTTTTGGCCCCAAATTCCTAAACGTAAAACTAAATACACGGTTAGATTCAGCATATTAAAGAACCCCATGAAATCAAGAATAAAACCCCATTGAAATTGGTCAAGAAATAAGCAATTTATAGGAAGTATCTTCTTTTGCACAATCCTGTGCTATTAAATATTTCTTGCTATTGCGCAATACTGTACAATTGACAATTTCTTGCTATTGCGCAATATTGTGCTATTGGATATTTCTTGCTATTGCGCAATACTGTGCAATTGAAGATTTCTTGCTATTGCGCAATACTGTGCAATTGAAGATTTCTTGCTATTGTGCAATACTGTGCAATTGAAAATTTCTTGCTATTGCACAATACTTATTATATAATAATTTACACATCCTGTTTGGTGTGTATCTCCTACCATATCATTATTATTTGATTTTAAATATAAATCAGAAATAACCAACTTAAAATGGAAAATTTTAAAAGAAACAAAAAAGGAAAAAAAGGAAAAAAAAATAAATCCCCCCCCAAAATTTTTTGAACCCCCATTATGATTCATCACCCCCAAACTCAATCCCAGCCTTCCCTTTGTGGTATGGTACCTTGCAGTACAATTTCAGAGAGATCCATACACTTGAACACAAGTTATTGTCTGGAAACTAGAAAAAAATGTGTTTTTTGGCCCCTTTTTGGCCCCAAATTCCTAAACGTTTAGGGCAATTACCCCCAAACTCAAACCCAGCTTTCCCTTTGTGATATGGAACCTTGTAGTACAATTTCAGAAAGATCCATACACTTACACACAAGTTATTGTCATGAAACTAGAAAAATGCTTGTTTTTTGCCCTTTTTTGGCCCCTAATTCCTAAAATTTGGAGGCAATTACCCCCAAAATCAATCCCAGCATTCCTTTAGTGATATGGAACCTTGTGGTACAATGTCAAAGAGATCCATACACTAACACACAAGTTATGTCTGGAAGTTACAAAAATGCTTATTTTTGGCCCCTTTTTGGCCCCTAATTCCTTTACTGTTATTACCATAACCCCCAAAATCAATCCCAACCTTCCTTTTGTGGTATTGAACCTTGTGGTAAAATTTCATAAAGATCCATTCACTTAAACTAAAGTTAGAGTGCGAAAACCAATGTGTCTTCGGACGACGCCAGACGACGCCGGACGACGACGACGACGCCGGACGACGACGACGACGACGACGACGACGACGACGCCAACGTCATACCAATATACGACCACAAAAATTTTTTTGCGGTCGTATAAAAACAAAGTTTTATTAACCTTTTGTCTCATGGAGTTTTTAGTTTCATAGATTTTTCAAAAACGATGGCTTTTTATAACCGACTGGACCATTTTGTCTGACTGAAGGTTACAATACACCATTAGATTTTATGGGCGCTGCCATTTTATGAGCATAACATGGTATTCAGAATTAAGAGTATAGCTAATCCTGATTGGTTGATATGTGCGCCCGTTATTTTTTGTTATTAGAGACTTCGTGCATTCTGCATTATACCAAAGGCCAAATAAATTATTTTCCTTAGCCCTAACAGAACTGAGATGTTTTTTAAACACTAGGATGAGACACGTATTTTTAAGTGCAAAATTGATAGGCATGGGAGATAAGTACAAATTACGCTAAGAAAAGCAACGCGAAACTATATTTTTTGGACCAAAAAATACTGTCCTAATAACTTATCTTTAATTCTAGCAAGGTTTCGTTAAAAAAATCAACTTTCTAAAGTCTGTATCTCGAAAAAGTCTATCATTGTCGCCTATGGAGAAATTAATTGTTTATTTCAATCTATACAGCGACGACATCTCTTTATCATAGTGCTCAAAAAGTGTCAAAAACAGTAATTTTACTCGATATTTGATGTGAAACCGTATTTTTTGGTGACAAATGAATTATTGATTAACTAGTTTTTAAGCTATAGTCTGTTTCATATTTGTATTGCGTTTTACCTTAGAAACAAGGGTGGGTTCAACTTTTGACTTACTGTGGAGAGAAAATGTCATTTTCTGAACTTCTGCTGATTTATTTGAAAAAAGCACGTACACTTCTAGAGTTTAGATATACAAATCGATTTTTAAACATGACAATCTCGATCCAAGTGCTGTTATCGAAATTACCAAATTCAGTGGAAATGTACAGAAATGATCCCCTTCAAACATTGAAATGTTCACTCGAATGGCAGACAATAAAACATAGAATAGGCATGACATTTTGTAGTTAACAAATAGTTTTCGATGTTTAAACACAAATATTTACACATTTTTCATATTTTGAAATGCTATAGTCTGTTTCAAAAATGTACTTTTATACGAAAATGGTTTCATTTAAAACTGTTGTTCAAAATTCCCCGTAGTAGTTACATATTGGATCGGTTTTGGTATCAATATAATCAGTACTTGATGACATATAAAGAATCATTGGAGAAAGTGGACATTATCTTCAGGCCCTTTTTAGCAGTACCGCATTTACTCAAAAAAACAGATTTTTTTTTTTCACATTTTTTGGCTGGGGTCACCTCTGATAAAAAATTGTGAAAATTCAGAGAGTAATGCCAGAACGTTTTGAAGATGATTTTTGTGTGGCATATATATTTGTGCATCTTACGAACTATGAATTGCATGATTCTAGAAAGTATTGAATACCGTATAGGTTACAATACACCATTAGATTTTATAGGCGCGGCCATTTTATGAGCATAACATGGTATTCAGAATTAAGAGTATAGCTAATCCTGATTGGTTGATATGTGCGCCCGTTATTTTTTGTTATTAGAGACTTCGTGCATTCTGCATTATACCAAAGGCCAAATAAATTATTTTCCTTAGCCCTAACAGAACTGAGATGTTTTTTAAACACTAGGATGAGACACGTATTTTTAAGTGCAAAATTGATAGGCATGGGAGATAAGTACAAATTACGCTAAGAAAAGCAACGCGAACCTATATTTTTTGGACCAAAAAATACTGTCCTAATAACTTATCTTTAATTCTAGCAAGGTTTCGTTAAAAAAATCAACTTTCTAAAGTCTGTATCTCGAAAAAGGCTATCATTGTCGCCTATGGAGAAATTAATTGTTTATTTCAATCTGAAAGTAAACTTAAAATCAGCGTCAGTAAGACGTTTGCCTGCATTCAAATACGATCTTCAATCAATCGCTTGAATGATCAAGATTGTCAATGGTAGAATAAAGAGAGATATCGAAATAAAAACGTATGTTATCAATGGATAACTCATGAAAAACCAAAGTTAAAAAGATTTAGGAGGCAATTTTTTAAATTGAATGTTAATAAATTAAATGAAACTGAATGAAATGAAAGACCAAAAGTAAATGATTTTTTTACCAGCAAAAAGACAAAATCATTGGAACCATTTACAGGTAAAACTTTTTATTTGAAGTTATTAAATTTCAAAGAAGCCTTAGAAGGTCTGTACAGTCTCATGTTTATATAAATGAGGCCTGCCTAAGCTTGCCTTCTATGCCCTTTTTATAATGTAACAAGTATTTCATTAATTATTACCACCCTTTAACTCTTGGGGAGGGAAGGGGGGTTGAAAATAGTGCCTAGGCTAGGAGGGGTGCTGCCCATTTTTTTTTTTTGACCTTTTCTCTTCAGTTTGTAGTATATAGTTCCAGGTTTATCACTGCCCATTTGTTGTGGATGGGGCCTAGGATAGGAGGAAGGCTTCCCATTTTTTATTTATAGTTGGACCTTTCCCCTCAAGTTTTACTAAAAAAGCAGGTAGGAAGGTAAATGCCAAGGCTAGGGAAAAGGCTCTCTTTATTTTTTCAGTTATAATTTCCCCTTGCTGATCATTAGCCCACTCGTTGAAAAAAGTACCAATGTTAGGATGGGTCCTGCCTCAGTTTGATTTTTTTTTACATTAACCTATCTCAAATGGAAGCCTTTGTTAAAAGTGCTGGCTAAGAAGGGGTGGACATTTTCCCACTTCAGCATATATGTCCTTTCCCAGGTTTGCATGTTTTTATGAAATATATAACACATGAAAATAATATTTCTTTTCTGGATCAAAACTGAAATTGTCAGATTTTGCATATGACATATATACATGTAGGTCTTTACATAAATATGAGAAGATGTGGTATGAGTGCCAATGAGACAACTCTCCATCCAAGTCACAAAGTAAACCATAGGTCAAAGTAAGGACTTTAACACAGAGTCTTGGTATTAATAGTTTATGCTGACCCTCCGTTGCTTTCTTATTTTTTGCGAAATCTGGCAATACAATAACAATTAAGATTATTTTTAATATATTTTTATTTGTCTTATTTTAATACGCAATATCACATAAGATTGACCTTACAAGCTAAAAAAAAAGATAACATTCCTATGAAACCCCATTTTTTATGCACTTGTAAATAGTTTGAAAATGACTCAGAGTGCACCATTTTCAATGTAAGGTCAAACAAATTTTCGAGGGGGGGGCCCACCCCCCATCACCTTTTTGGTCAGCCACTTCAAATTAGTAAACAGCCTGTTCATTGATAATTTATTGAAAGCCCTGTAAATGTAACTGAAAGAATCTCAAACTGAACACGATACATAATTTTTTTAATAGTTGTTATTGGCTTTGAACTAGCTAACTGTGAGTACTTTCAGATCTGTACTCTGTGGTTTTTTTTGCTGTAGGGATGTATAAATTCCTTGCCACGTTCATCTGTGTTTTTGTAACTTGTTTTTCTGCTTTGTATCGATCTGATTAGTTAAAACTTTTTCAACTGATTTTTATAGTTTGTTCATATGTTGTACAGCTGTGACACCACTGTCCCAGGTTAGGGGAGGGTTGGGCATCCGTTAACATGTTTAACCCATCCACATTCTGTATGTGCCTATCCCAAGTCAGGAGCCTGTAGTTCAGTGGTTGTTGTTTGTTGCTGTATATCATATTTGTTTTTAGTTCATTGCTTTTTACATAAATCAGGCCGTTAGTTTTCTCATTTGAATTCTTTTACATTTGTCTTTTCGGGGCCTTTTATAGCTGACTATGCAGTATGGGTTTTCCTCATTGTTGAAGGCTGTATGGTGACCTATAGTTGTTAACTTCTATGTCATTTGGACTCTGGTGGAGAGTTGTCTTATTGGCAATTATACCACATCTTCTTATTTTTTTAATATGAAAGTAATTTTCTGAGTAAACTTTCCACTGATTGCTTCATCTGACATAATTGCATATGCAGTCAGTATGTTTGTGTTAGTTCTAAATATTACTAAAATTTACAGTGATCTAAGCCCCTGTATTTGGTTCTGTTGTTGTTGTTTCCACAATTTATTTTACTTCAAAGTTGTGTGTGATGGATACTAATCCTTGGTGTTAGTTAGATCATTGCTTTATGAGGATCAAATACACTTTTTTTGTAATTGCCTTGCAAATATTTATATCATTTTTTAAAAATTTCTACTGAAAACACATTTTCCCTCCAAAATTAAGTAAGTTAACTGTTACTTTCTCAAATTCCAATTTGCATACACTGAACTCTTGTTGAGGAAAATTTATAGATAACAATCAAAGTTCTCAACTAACTGATTTTTTAGAATACATACCTTGCTGAGCCAAGCCTTTATACAGAGAGGATGAAAATGGTGTTGGCATGGTAATGTTGTCGTAGAGTCACATTCTTCATAGATACACAGACAAATTGGACAGGATATATTTTGACCTTTAAAGTAAACAAAACACTACTAATATATAAATAAAAAACAAAACATTAAACTTTGATATATAATTTCACTATTTTATTGATCAGATTTTTTTCTGGTACATTCAAGTGAAATCAAGGTCAATATTTTTTTTCAATGCCAGGATCACATTTGTCATTTACATAAAAATCAGTGGCTCTCTTCACCAAAAATCTTAAGAGTAAAAATACTCTTGTAAGTCAAACACATTTCAGTATAACTTATGATCAATTTTAGTCGTAAGATTTTTTGTGAAAAGAGTCGCAGGATACTGTGGATTCATTTATTTTTCGTGGATACCAATTTTGGAGGATTGAATAGAACTTTCGGTTTCGTGGTTTTACAAAAGTTTAGAAAGCCTTTAGAAAATTTGTACTTTTTTTAACATTTAAATCAGTGGTTTTCCTATAACCATTAATTCAAGGAAAATTAATATCCAACCAATAAAAATGAAATCACAGTACAAACAAAAACTTCCTCTCGCCCAAAATCAAATTACCCTAAATTGCCCCTTCACCAGACAGACATAAACCAATGAAATGATTTGTAGGGTTTAATTTGCTTAGTTATCAATAACTCTTATAATGCATATATGTTTGTATGTTTTTTTTATTTTAGTACCTTTATATGTTTTGGAGTTTAGTGTGACATCCATTTTCACTGAACCAGTACACAATTTTATTTAGGGGCCAGCTGAGGACCACCTCCGGGTGCGGGATTTTCTCGCTGCGTTGAAGACCCATTGGTGGCCTTCAGCTGTTATCTGCTCTTTGGTCGGGTTGTAGTCTCTTTGACATGTTCCCCATTTCCATTCTCAATTTTATATAAGGAGTAAATGATGGTTGTTTTATTTTTTATAGTTTTCAAGATATAAGGCAAAAATGTTAAAAATTGTCAAAAATCTTGATTTAAGAGCAATTATTCCTACAATGACTCATCCCATAATTTTGATGAAATGAGAAGTAAGTAGATCATAACATTCTGAACATTTTTGTGCTATCAACTTTTTTCAAGAAATAAGATAATTGTTTGCATTTTCCCCCTTGCTGTTTTATTTTGAGACAATGTTGCCACATTGGTTGGTTGGCAGTGACAAAACAATAGCTTAATAGCCTAAGGATCATTCAAGCAAAGTTTGTTTGACATTGGTCAAGTGGTTTCAGAGTAGAACATTTATAAAAAAAGTATAAGACAGTGATGTAAGTCAAGTGAACTAAAAATTGTAAGTCGAGAAGTTTCTATTTTTGAGAGGAACGCTCAGAAAATTAATAGTTTACCCAATTACTGTACAGTAACTATCAGTAAGACAGTCTACATTGTAATGACAATAAACTCAATAGCACACAAGTTCTTTTCATTAACCCAAACATTTAGATATATGGCTTTTTCCAAGTATGTTATAATATTGAAGTCTTATGTACATTTAATCAAAAGTAATGATATTCACAGCCTACAATACCGTACAGCAGGTTATTTTCGCTTATATTGGCGGATAAATGAAAATCGTGAAAATAAATTCGAAATTTATGCATATGAACATTCTAATAGCTATATATCATTTTGTGAATGATCTATTTTTTTCCGGTTGGAAAGTCAATGACGGTATGGGTTTGTTTGAAAAACATTAATGCCAAAGGGCACTATACATACAAGTTTTTTATAAAATGATGTCATGAGTGCTAATTAAAAAATGTATATGTATACCCTTTATATCTAGTGTCAAATAATATAAGAGAGTCAGGTACTCTCAGACTGTTAGGTATATTACCGTTCTTAATTAGTGTCAAATTATATAAGAGTTATAAGTCACTCATGATAATCTTATGACCTAATTAGTACACCAAAGGTCTGGTCAATTTCTTAAATATCTATGTCACCAGTATTTTATTGAAAAACTGTATCTGAATATATTCAATAAATAAGACGTCATTCAGCAAAGATATGTTTAACTGTTTTCTGCCTGCCACTTTTTCACAACTTTTTAATAGCAACCAATTCAGTATCCGCCAATATATTTAATTGAAATTAAGAATCCACCAAACTAAAAACTGCCAAAATTTGGTGTATACTTTGTTGCCCCTAAATCGCAAAATTTTACACCAGCGAAAAAAACCTGCTATACGGTAGTAGGGAGACCTTATGTTTTCCATTTTGCCCCATATCAGGTTGAAGTTTTGGTTCAAGGTAGCTATCTTAAAGTTGTAGTCACATTAACTTGAAACTTAGTACATACTCATTTTGGTACACATTTTATTTAAAATGAAGGCCAAATAGGGTTTTGACCCCAAATTATGGGTTTCAATTAACATTGGAAATGTAACAGTAGGAGAGGGCATCATATCTGTTGTCTGCTCTATGGTCGGGTTGTTGTCTCTTTGACACATTCCCCATTTCCATTCTCAATTTTACATATTCTTGTTTTACTAAACTTTTCTTATTTAGATTTTCAACTTGTGAAAGACTTACTTATCTGTAGACTGGTCACTGGAGTTATTGGTAAGTTCTGTATAGTAGACTGAGTAGCAGGAGGCGGAGCCTGTTCTCCCAGTAAGTCTGGATGGACAGCTAACATTTGTATTATAACATTCTGTAATCATAACAATATAATAAGGAAATAATGAATTCTTTCATTTGGATTTTACAAAGGGTTTGAGACTAACAAGTCAATCCAGTATCTCATTATTGCTCATGTTGTAGGGAAGTATTACAATATCTTTATATCAAAGTACCATCGACCAAAAATAGCAAGGCATAGTCTCTCCATTAAATCATTTCTTTGCAAATGCTTTATTTGAATCAGTTGTTTGTTCTCTTTTTAAGTATCGAAAGGAATATATGGGAAATTTGTTATGTTAATCAATAGCTAAGTTAACAGTTCATAATTTTGGATAACTGAGCTAGAATAGTATCCATTTATATATTGAAAAATGTAGGGAATCAACTTTGATATAAATATACAACTTATATCAAGTTTTATATAACTACTTCCACAAACATTAGTTACAGATATAATAATGTTTAAAAACTATTTCTTTTTTTTTTTAAATCATAATGAGTGATATTTGTTTAATAAATTTTGATTTACATATATGGAACTAGTTGCAAGTGTATCTAAATAAAATTGAGTCTATTGGTTTCATTCAAAACATAATTATTTTTTCATTAAGGAAAACTGACATGTGAAACATTGCTGGGAGTTGACTAAATTGGTGTTTTGTGATAGATTGATTGAAATTTTGTGTTTTTTGTGAAGCTTAAGTTCCTTCAAAGAACCACTGATATTTGCCATGTGCAGGGGTTCAAACCAAATTGATGTTTTATTCTTTCTGCTAATGATTTATACATCTGTTTCAGTTTTATAAAATGCTTTTAATTCAGAATTTTCTTACAATCTACATTGGGGACATAGTGCCAGATGGGCTGGCTCATAAGTCTGATATAGATGCTTTATAGGTGTTTATAAGGTCTGATTACCTCAAACATCAGCTCTAGTTCACTTCTTCTGTCATTCATCAGTAGATCTAGGGGAGATAACTCTTCAATGTTTATAGTAAACATACCGTCATCATCATCTCTCTCAGACATCCTATAATCAAACAGACATATATAAAGAGTTTTAAAAATCACATACTTGCATGGTTCAAGATTTATTGTTCAATCAAAATGAGAGTTAACATTTAACTTTGTTTTCTTCTAAGGAACATGCATTTACTTCCAGTAAACTCATTTCTGTCCATCATGTCTATATAGTAGTCATAAATATCCCTGTTTTCCCTATCAAAACCACAACGTGAAAGTATACCAACATTTGTTTAATTTGTGACAGAAATTATACAATTAATGTCTATTGATTAGGTAAAAATTCGTAAGGGTTCCGCGGAACCCAGTGTCTCGCCTACTTTTTGCTGTTAATCACAGGCTCAGCAAAAATGAGGAAAAAAATTAATAAAAATATTCCTCTCTATACTATCTTTTGATTGTAAGTAGCTTCTGTCCAAGTTTGGTAAAAATCCAGGATAGTTTATGAATCTAATAAATGTTTTAAAAACTTAAACTGCAGACTGTATGTAATGTTAACTGGAAGAAAAACTAAGTCCATTTATAAGTAAAATACGGAAAAAATGGAACAAAATTTCCTTCTAGATACTAGCTTTTAATCATAAACAAGCTTCTGTCTAAGTTTGGTACAAATCCAGGATAGTTTAAGAAAGTTGTTAAAATTTTAAAAACTTTAACCACAGAGTGAATGTAATGTTAACTGGCAGAAAAACTAAGTCCATTTATAAGTAAAATATGGAAAAAATGGAATTTTTTTTTTACAAAATTTACTTCTGGATACTAGCTTTTAATCATAAACAAGCTTCTGTCCAAGTTTGGTACAAATCCAGGATAGTTTAAGAAAGTTGTTAAAATTTTAAAAACTTTAACCACAGAGTGAATGTAATGTTTCCTGGCAGAAAAACTAAGTCCATTTATAAGTAAAATACGGAAAAAACGGAATTTTTTTTTTACAAAATTTACTTTTGAATATTATCTTATGATCATAAACAAGCTTCTGTCCAAGTTTGGTAGAAATCCAGGATAGTTTAAGAAAGTTATTAAAATTTCAAAAACTTTAACCACAGAGTGCATATTTGTGGACGCCGCCGACAACGACGACGACGCTGACGGAATGAAGGATCGCTATGTCTCGCTTTTTCAACAAAAGTCGAAGGCTCGACAAAAATGTGGTTTTATTGACTTTTGAAAAACTGATAGTCACTGAGGCCAAAGGTTTAAATGAATGTCATTTTATCAAAAGTCAATTAAACCATATATTTACAGAAACAAAAGATAGTAAATTTTTTATTCTATATCACAATTAAAAAAAAAATAAATGGGGAATGTGTCCATGGGACACAGATGATGCCCCCTCTTGCATATAATGTTATAAAGGAATATAATTCAAGAACTGTAAAAGTGACGCTACCCAAATTTGTACTTGATCTGAGTTTTGTGGTAATAAGCATTGTGTATACGTTTCATAACATTTGGTTGAGGCAAACTAAAGTAAGAGAACGGAATCGAAAAATTCAGCAATTTTTCCATTTGTAGAGGGGCATAACTCTAGAACAGCAAAAGTGACGCCACCAAAATTCGAACTTGATGTGTTTTGTGGTAATAAGATTAGAATTGTGTATAAGTTTCATAACATTTGGTTGAGGCAAACTAAAGTAAGAGAATGGAAATGAAAAATTTAGCAATTTTTCCATTTGTAGAGGGGCATAACTCTAGAATGGCACCAAAATTCAAACTTGATCTTTGTTTTGTCGTTATAAGCATTGTATATAAGTTTCATAATATTTGGTTGAGTCAAACTAAAGTTAAAGAACAGAAACCAAAAATTCAGCAATTTTTCCATTTATAAAGGGGCATAACTCTAGAACCGTAAAAGTGACGCCACCAAAATTCAAACTTGATCTTTGTTTTGTGGTAATAAGCATTGTGTATAAGTTACATAACATTTAGTTGAGGTAAACTTAAGTTAAAGAATGGAAATTAATTGTCAAATAAGGTACGGACGGAAGTACAGACGGTCAAGGGTTGAGGGGGCATAAAAATTTCAAAAGTAACATTTGATTCAATGATATTTAACTTTAATAGTTTATTTTTCTTTCCAAGGGGCCAATGTCTTCAGTTTTATTACAATGTAGTTCTATAAAATCTAAACCCATACCAAAAATTTAAGCCATAATCTGTATTTTCTACTGTTGTTAGTTCACTCTGTGCAGCACTTTCATGACTGTTTCTATCTTCAGTATCCTCCTCATTGTTATGACAACTATCTCCACCTAGACTGGAACCTACACAGAACTGACAGTCACATTCAAATTCATCATCAGCTTCTCCACCATCAGAAATATTTTCTTCATCTTTATTTTGATCAGTATCAGCTGTCTGCAAAATGAATCAAAATTATTTGAATACATGTACTTCAGTGCCCATTATATTAATTGTTGTACAAGGCATGAAAAGTGAAGAAGAAGATTATGAATAGAAGGAAATGTGGGGTATATATGTCAATTAGACACAAACCCAACAACACAGTCAGAGCTCCAGATAAGAATTTACTAATTAGGGTTTTTACTCCTCATTTGTTATGTAATTGAGTGAAATAGGTTTTTCTTTTGCATCATCAGTTCAAGTTCACCCCTCAGGCAAAGATTGAATTGGGTTTTTCACTCCAATATTCCTGAATGCATTGGGGTTTTTTCATCATGGTTTTAAAATTGAGACATTTACTCTGTTTGGGTAAAATTGATTCATTGTCATGTGTATGATGCATCAATATTAAAGTTCTGTGAATGTGTTAAAACAATGTAACATCGATTCATGGACAGTTTTATTTTTACCCAATTCAGTGATAAACACCAAAATATTTTTCATGTAAGCAGCAAAACGGTCACTATAAATATATGATCCTGATGATGGGTGGTTATTTAATGTCCAGTGGTATTGCACACGGAGTTATTGTGCACAAGAGGTTCTTTTTCTACCTCTTCTATTCCCTTGCTATAAAAAGAAAATTTTATGAACTGGTGCCGCTTGTTTATCAGGATACAAAATTCTAGCAACGTACAAACGATTTTTAGAATCCGACAAGGACCCAGTTCTGCCATTTGTAACTTCTTGACCCTTACCACTTCACTTACGTTTACGTTAATGTAAGTGAGTGAGAATGCCAGAGAAGTTAGGATTGCTTTTTGATTGGTGCTCTATTTTAAGAACGCAAGTAGATTTCTTTAAATTACAAAAATAGATTTATAAATTATGCAAAAATAATTCATTATTTAGGGTAAATAACGCACTTGACAGCGACTATTAGGGTTGGAAATGTAGTTTTAATAAATAATTAGGTTCTTAAACACTGAGAAGGACAATTGAATTGGGTTTTCTATTGTTTTAATTGCGTAATTAGGCAAATACGCAACTTATCTGGAGCTCTGACAGTGAACTGAAATATCCAAATATATATGTGATAACAATATAGTCAATATCACAAGAAAAACTAGAGGCTCTAAAGAGCCTGTGTCGCTCACCTTGGTCTATGTGCATATTAAACAAAGGACACAGATGGATTCATGACAAAATTGTGTTTTGGTGATGGTGATGTGTTTGTAGATCTTACTTTACTGAACATTCTTGCTCCTTACTATTATCTCTATCTATAATGAACTTGGCCCAGTAGTTACAATGGAAAATATTTGTAAAAATTTACAAAAATTTACAAAATTTATGAAAATTGTAAAAAATTGATTATAAAGGGCAATAACTCCTTAAGGGGTCAATTGACAATTTTGGTCATGTTGACTTATTTGTAGATCTTACTTTGCTGTACATTATTGATGTTTACAGTTTATCTCTATCTATAATAATATTCAAGATAATAACCAAAAGCTGCAAAATTTTCTTAAAATTACCAATTCAGGGGCAGCAACCCAACAATGTGTTGCCTGATTGGTCTGAAAATTTCAGGGCAGATAGATCTTGACCTAATAAAAAATTTTTTCCCGTCAGATTTGCTCTAAATACTTTGGTTTCAGAGATATGAGCCAAAAACTGCATTTTACCCTATGTACTATTTTTTAGCCATGTCGGCCATCTTGGTTCGCGGGCAGGGTCATCGGACACATTTTTTAAACTAGATACCCTAATGAGGATTGTGGACAAGTTTGGTTAAATTTTGGTCAAGTTGACTTATTTGTAGATCTTACTTTGCTGAACATTATTGCTGTTTACAGTTTATCTCTATCTATAATAATATTCAAGATAATAACCAAAAACGGCAAAATTTCCTTAAAATTACCAATTCAGGGACAGCAACCGGGTTGTCCGATTCATCTGAAAATTTCAGGGCAGATAGATCTTGTCCTGATAAACAATTTTACCCCATGTCAGATTTGCTCTAAATGCTTTGGTTTCAGAGATATAAGCCAAAATCTACATTTTACCCCTATGTTCTATTTTTAGCCATGGCGGCCATCTTGGTTGGTTGGCCGGGGCATCGGACATGTTTTTTAAACTAGATACCCAAATAATGATTGTGGCCAAGTTTGGTTTAATTTGGCCAAGTAGTTTCAGAGGAGAAGATTTTTGTAAAAGTTAACGACGACGGACGACGACGACGGACGCCAAGTGATGAGAAAAGCTCACTTGGCCCTTTGGGCCAGGTGAGCTAAAAATATGGAAGTTTTAATTATTACCGTATCAACCCTGACACAGTTTTTGCATAAATATTATAAGAATACCTGCTATAACATGTATAAATAAGATGTGTATGATCCCCCTAAAGGGCTAATCAAAATTCATAAGTCAAAGAGAAACTGACCCAAAAATGGCAAAAAAATGAAAATCAACTTAAAGACCAACAACAGTCCACAAAACAGTACATAGAAAACTAAAGACTGAAAAACATGAACCCCAACCTGGAAAAACAGAGATATTCTAAGGTGCTCCATCATGTCCATATCTATAAATATCTAATTACTTCTGTATTAACATAATACTTTACACTAACTGTTTCCATTGCCCTACTAATGTCCCAATTGTCCTGGTCACTGAGTAACAGATTGTTAATCATGTCGATCTTTTCCAGATTTGTTAGTAAATCTGTCAGTGTTTCCTCCTCAGTCATATTTTCTATATTGGTGCTCTGGTCAACTAATAGTTGTCTCCCTTGATAAGACTCTTCCTCCTCACTGTGAGTTACTTCTTCTGTTTCCTAATAAAGTAGACAAAATACAAATGGTAGATCATAGCACTGTTACTTAAGTTTAATAAAATTACTAAAACAAAATTATGTCATGCATCTAAAATCCAATCATTTGATGAAATGGACATGCATCAAAGAGTTACCAGTACTATGTCCTTTTTATTCAGTCTATTAATCCAAATTAAAAATCGAAGATAGCTGTGTACAATAGAAATAAAGTTAATCATGGTACAAGTTCAACTGAATTTAAGGATGTTTCCTCCTCTTGTTTTTGAATTTTTGCCAGATATTCGGAATCCTCTGGTTTTATCCTGATCCATGAAGTGCTATTACACATTTTGCCCGCTAACCCCTGCTTTTCTTTTCATAATTTTATTGCAAATAGTTTTAAAAGCCATATTTGAAAATCCTATAAAATCCTTGTTGATTTTTTCATAGTTTTGGAAAGAAAAAGCTGCCAAAGTTAAATGTATGAAAAATCTAGAGAGAATAATTTCCCCCCAAATTTTCAATGGCTTATATTTCGAAAACAAGCGTACAGACCCTTCATGTTTTTCTGCTTTTTTAGTTCCTTTATTTATATACTATCAACTTTAAGTTCAGTCTTTTAAAAAGCTTGTTATATTAAAACAGAGTAGCAAACATCCTTAATGTGCCTATCTAAAGTCTGAAACTTTTTTCGTGGGTGTTTTTGTTTATACCTTTATATTGTTAGTCCTTTGGTCCTAGGTTGGATCCACATGCAGGTCAAAATAAGGACTTCAAAATTTATGTTTTTGCTTCTTTTCTTCTTAGCATGAACATGATGAAGTATTTAGAGGTTACGGTAAAGACTGGTTAGTTTGGAGTCTGAATTATGTGTCTGAGTATGATGATATGTCTCACTGCAAACTGTTACCTTGGTTACCTTGTGAACTAGCACATTATCAATCCAGATCATCTTGTCAGTACAAAGCAGGATTCATATACGTATCACATTAACATACTCTCACCCTGAATATATGCATTTAATTTGTCACTGTACATTCAGCAGTTATCACCATCATCCATTATGTAAATTACTTTGATTATTGCAAGGCTCAACTGGAGGATAATAGTTGTATTTACGCATTTATAGGAATCATTTTGTTCTTTATCATGTTGATGTTGGTTCCAGTAAAAATTTTCTTTAAACATAATTATCATACCATGAAGCAAGGCATATTGTTTTTTTATTTTAATCTAAACAAACTTGAATTGGTGCCTGTAATTCAGTGGTTGTTGCTTTATATCATATTTGTTTTTCGTTCATTGTTTTGTACATAAATCGGGCCGTTAGTTTTCTCGTTTGAAATGTTTTACATTTGTCATTTTCGAGTCTTTTATAGCGGACTATTTTTGGTATGGGTTTTGCTCATTGTTGAAGGCGATACGTTGACCTATAGTTGTTAACTTCTATCATGTCTACGTCATTTGGTCTCTGGTGGAGAGTTGTCTCATTGGCAATCATACCACATCTTCTTTTTTTATATTTGTACATTTGGTAAAGAAAATAATCATCAGAAATTTCTCTTGTTTTAAGACTGACACCAGTCTATAAAATTGAACAAGTAGTGTTGAAAGCAGGGCTTCCAAAGAATATTTCTTATCCAGATTTGAATTCCTTTAGACTTAGCAATAATAGGTAATCATAGTAATCATTTAGGCATCTTAAACAATAATTGACATTAAAACGATATTAAACATCAGTGTTGATGCCAGGACTATAGTACTCTGTTCTAAATTTACTCACAGCTTTAGTTTAGAGATTAAACTGGACAATTTTGAGCATGACTTAAATAATCTAGACACATCTTTAAGTAACATGTATCTACAAAATGTAATAAGACTAACTAAACATGTCTCATTGGCACTCATACCACATCTTCTTATATCTACGTATTATCATTTCCTTTATAAATTCAGTTGTTCAAAATATTTTCAAATATTTTTTAGGACATATGTTCATCACTATCATGACTATTTACACAATTTACACAACATCATGAACATGCACAACAGCTAGAGGATTTAATATTTTTCATGGGATACCAATTTTGGTGAATTTTGGGATAAGGGTGAATCACGAATTTAAAAGTCCAACAAACAACTATTTTTCTTTAGTCTTGTATGCAGAACTTTGACAACCACAGAATCAAATATCTATGAAAATTTTTTAAAAATCCACAAAAATTGATAATTATGAAAATAAATGAATCCAGTGTATTTTGAATAAAATGCTCTGCTGGGGGGCAGCTTGATACGACTGCTAAGGTCGAACACTGAACAGTTGGGGCAAGTATGGACACAACATTCAAGCTTGAAACAGCACTGAATTTGGATTGTAATTAAATATTTGACACAGCATAGGTTTCTGACACAGAATGAATGTGGTCTAAGAACTTAAAAAATTTTAATTTACCTATTCAAACCATATCATTATTATTTGCTTTTATCATGTTTATATATAAATCAGAAATAACCAATTTAAAATGGAAAGTTTTAAAGAAAAAAAAGAAAAAAAAATTTTTTTGAACCCCCTTATGATTTATCACCCCCAAACTCAATCCCAGCCTTCCCTTTGTGGTATGGTACCTTGCAGTACAATTTCAGAGAGATCCATACACTTGAACACAAGTTATTGTCTGGAAACTAGAAAAATGCTTGTTTTTTGGCCCCTTTTTGGCCCCAAATTCCTAAACATTTAAGGCAATTACCCCTTAACTCAAACCCAGCTTTCCCTTTGTGATATGGAACCTTGTAGTACAATTTCATAAAGATCCATACACTTACACACAAGTTATTGTTCTGAAACTAGAAAAATGCTTATTTTTTGCCCCTTTATGTCCCCTAATTCCTCAAATTTTGAGGGAATTACCCCCAAAATCAATCCCAGCCTTCCCTTTGTGGTATGGTACCTTGCAGTACAATTTCAGAGAGATCCATACACTTGAACACAAGTTATTGTCTGGAAACTAGAAAAATGCCTATTTTTTGCCCCTTTTTCCTAAACATTTTGGGCAATTACCCCCAAACTCAATTCCAGCTTTTCCTTTGAGATATGGAACCTTGTAGTACAATTTCATAAAGATCCATACACTTACACACAAGTTATTGTCATGAAACTAGAAAAATGCTTGTTTTTTGCCCTTTTTTGGTCCCTTATTCCTAAAATTTGGAGGCAATTACCCCCAAAATCAATCCCAGCATTCCCTTTGTGATATGGAACCTTGTGGTACAATGTCAGGGATATTCATACACTTACACACAAGTTATTGTCATGAAACTAGAAAAATGCTTGTTTTTTGCCCCTTTTTGGCCCTTAATTCCTAAAATTTGGAGGCAATTACCCCCAAAATCAATCCCAGCATTCCCTTTGTGATATGGAACCTCCATACACTAACACACAAATTATGTCTGGAAGTTACAAAAATGCTTATTTTTGGCCCCTTTTTGGCCCCTAATTCCTTAACTGTTGGTACCATAACCCCCAAAATCAATCCCCACCTTCCTTTTGTGGTATTGAACCTTATGGTAAAATTTCATAGAGATCCATTGACTTAAACTAAAGTTAGAGTGCGAAAACCAATCTTCGGTTTCGGACGACGACGACGCCAACGTCATACCAATATATGACCGCAAATTTTTTTTGCGGATAAAAATCTATATATACGATATATATATGCATGATATGTATAATCATGCATAAATGTTCCACAAAAAGAAAAGAAAAAGATAAACAACAATTATTTATCTACTTTTCCTGAAATTATTTGATCAATTATTTCCTGCAAACAACGAACAACGAAATCTAATTTTATTTTTTTTCAATTTCTGTACACACAAACCTGAAAATCAACGATATCATTCTGATCATTTCTAGCATCAGTATTTCCTTCTTGACCAAGACGTTGTGCAATACTGTTCTTTAACCTGTCAGAGAGATAGGGCATGGCATAATTCAAACCAGGAATGGAACTGGGTGCTTGTGGTAAACTGTCATCATCAGATAGATATATTTTATCTGTAGATTCTTCTGAAAGACTTTCTGAAAATAGCAAAAAGGTCAAATATATTTGTCAATTAATTTGTTGTTTCTCAGATCAGTTTCTAGTGAAATCATGATATAAATCTCTATAATGTTATCCTAATGTCAGTATGTAAAACACAAAAATAAGTGATTTTCATATAGATTCTACCACTGCATCGAGTGTGATACAATATTTATCCACTCGAGACAGTTAAATTTTCAAATTTAAAACGCGAGGCTTGCCTTTTTTAAAAAAGCAGTTCTGGGATAGTGGTTATTTCAAAGGAAGTCTTCGGTTGTCTGCCTAGTATTTTCCACAGGTGAATTAATATGATTAAGCACATGGAAATTTTTGATATTCAACATACATGACATACATCATGTACATGACATATTTCCAATTCATGATCATCATGATTATATTCAACATATTTCCAATTTAATAAAATGACAGAGTTCCAATGTCCCCGGGTTGCACAAGGGCAATAACTAAAAAAAAAACTCTTTTTTTTGTTCTTTAGAACTTTTATAAATGAAGACTTCAGAGCAAATGTAATCATGGTAATGCGATTTCTGTTATAATCAATATTTCCAGGGGCATAACTCGTTAAAAATATTCATGATATTTGATCAGCACTTATTTTTGAAAGTGTCAAAGACATCAATTGCTAATTTAAACCTATGATATAAGTTTCATAAAATTCTGACAAAAATAATTGATCAGCATTGATTTTAAAATTTATCCAAGATATTGATGATATAAACCTATAAATTTCATAAAAATCTGGCATGAATTGTACACATGAGGGCACTAACAATGCAATTTTCCTTATAATTAATGTTTCTAAGGGGAAGAACTCTTTAAAAAAGATTGATCAGCAGATTTTCGAACTCATCTAAAACATTGCTTATATAAACCTATGATATAAGTTTCATAAAACTCTGGCGGGAATTGTACAAAAGAGAGCTCTAACAATGCAATTTTCTATATAACTAATATTTCCAATGGACATCATGGACATAGCTCTTTTAAGAATAATTGATTGGCACTGATTTTCAAACTTGTCAAAGTCAGTGCTGATATAAACATGATAAACCTATGATATAAATTTCATAAAAATCTTGCAAGAATTGTACACTTGAGAGTGCTAACAAAACTGGAGGGACGCCCCACCCATCCCTGCAACACGTTGCACGGGGACAAAATTCAATTACACTCAATTAATTGACTTATCAACCACACCCGACAAAAAACCAATGGTCAGGTGACATTATCCATAAGTTGATATTTCAATTTTTCTGACTCGTCTGTGTAAAATCAGATTTAAACCCCAAAAAAAACTTTTCAAAACTATAGCATTTTATCATGTTTATTTAGATACTGAATACTAATTCATTCCTATCTCCATGATCTCTGATATCTGATGAGGAAATGCAAAGATAACTAAACACTTAAGGAAAACATGCGAATACTTAAAATATAAACAATATATCATAAAATTGAGAATGGAAATGGGAAATGTGTCAAAGAGACAACAACCCGACCATAGAGCAGACAACAGCCGAAGGCCACCAATGGGTCTTCAATGCAGCGAGAAACTCCCGCACCTGGAGTGCATATCATGTATATTGAAAACTTATTTTGCACTTATAAATAAAAACCTAAAAAAACTCTCTCTTGCAAATCTAAAAAAAAAGTTTGATATTTTCCTCATCAAGAAATAAATTCGTTTTGCAAATTTATGTTTCGAGTTTTCGGTTCAATTTTGTGCTAGGGGACGTGAAAATCTTTTTATTTACATACCCATTTTTCAGTCAAGGGAGATAAACTCAATTTCAGTAATGAAAAAAATTGTAAAAAGTCATATGATACTCATATCTACCAAAAAAAGGTCAAACGGATGACCTTGTACAAACGTAGAGATTTTCACCATAGAGTGCACAAATAACGCTAAGTTTGTTTTCTTTACCTATATTTACATACCTAAGCTTATTCTGGTTAAGCTAGAGAGGAACCCTGAGGGACTGTAGTCTATGGCAGCCTCTAGATATTTAACATCATCGTTGTCATCATCACTAAATCCTTCTGTAACAACATAACTATCTTGAGGACTGGAATGGTTTGAGTATGAATGATCAACTTTTCCATGTACTGATCTAGAATCAGGATCCAAATTCAAAGGTAAATAAGTAAATCTATGATTATCTCCCTTTAATGGAAGTTTTTTGTCAGATAGGGTAAATTTATCCCTATTTTGAATGATGTCATCAGATTTTAAATTAGATTCATCTAAATTCTTTGATATACAACTTCTGCTGTGATCCTTACATGTTCTCTCAGATGATTTGTCAACATATGACGATTTTGAATTATTTCCGAAAAAACTAAAATTGCTTTCTGATTGACATTTTCTACAAAATACATCAGCATGTTGATACTTTTTGCTGATAGTATTATCAGAATGACATCTTTTACAAAAGATTTCATCAGATCCACTCTGCTTCCCATTATTATCAAAGTGACTAGTTTTACCAGCTGTTTTATCAGTCAGACACTTATTTATGGAAATTTTGCTTCTTTTAAAAGGTTTGTTATATCTTTCAGTTTTATTAAGTTTATGGTTTTCAATATTTTCAGGCAACTGATTGGAATGTTCTGAACATATATGATATTCATCTTGACCTTGGAATGCATAAAAATCTGTCATGATCTGATCTCCCTCCAATTTCTTACAAGCATGACAACTGTCTAAACAATTTTTAGAAATATCACATTGACTACAGCAATCACAGGTGCTTTCTATCAGGTCCGTACTGTGACACCAATCTGATTGATCTGTATCCGTGTCACAGTTTCTACTGGAATGTAGGGATAAATAATCATCAGTGAGCAAATCATCCATAGCACTATAACATGTATAACATTCACAATGGACATTTTTCTGCTCTTTTTGACAAATCTTATTTCGCTGTGGACATTTACTAGCCATTAAAATTCTATCATTGTTTTGAACTTCTCCAGTGCCGTAAGCAGAACCATTGCCATGGCAATCAGTCTGTCTTTTGTCTATACTGGATGAATATTTTGACAATGATTTTTTAACATAACTATTTTTAGTATTTTGACTGGTCTTTACTTTATTGACTAATTCCTCATCTGTCATGTCTGTAGATGAACTGTCAGATTGTTTTGCATCTAAACAATATAGATATCTCCTGAAAGCGAGCCCTGATTTTTTCCATCTTGATAGCAGTGAATCTTTTCTTTTATTAGAACTGATGCAATTTCTTTGTCTCTTTAGCACATCACTGCTAGGACTAGAACTGCCTGAACTTAAGTTTATTCCATCTGGTGTTTCCATGGCCTTTATCACAAGTTTCACTTATGCAATGTTATGTGTACTTGATTTATTATTCATTTTCCTTTGATTTCCTGACACTTAAACATCGTAATAGTTGTCACCATTCAACAGTAATGTACATGATGTATACATTTATTTTTGGTTCTGCTAACTGTTTCTTTGTGAAAGAAAGAAAGTTATATAAAAAACTCTGCAATCGTGACAATATATATATTTTACTATGTGCTTTGCTTTGCTTTGTTCTTTCCACATTGGCTAGAGGTATACATGGTACAGTGGGAGGGTTGAGATCTCACAAAACATGTTTGACCCTGCCACATTTTTGCTCCTGTCCAAAGTCAGGAACCTCTAGCCTTTAATTGTTACTCTTGTGTGTTTTTAAAATTTTGATTCATTTGCACATGTTGTGTTTCGGAGTTTAAAGTGGCGTCCATTTCTCTGAACAAGTATACCATGTATACATTATTGTTTAGGGGCCAGCTGAAGCCTGCAACCAGTCAGCTGCGTGATTTTCCTCGCTGTATTGAAGACCCACTGGTGGCCTTTGGCTGCTTCTGCTCTTTTGTCAGGTTGTTGTCTCTTTAACACATTCCCCATTTCTATTCTCTATTCTATTGATACACTTTTCTTTAGCAAATGTTTAGTCACTATGGTTACTAGTACATGTAAAAATCAATATGGGAAAAAAAAAGAATTACAATAGTTGAGGGTTTTTAAACTGAATGTAATTGTCTCAGATTACAGTGCTTAAAAAAATATATATATCGGCATGATAAAGGCAATGGCTTTTCAATTAGAAATTAATTAAATATATGATACAAATGTATGTGTGACTATGTATAACAAACTACATGTACAATGTACCTCCAAAACAATAAACATACATATTCCACTAGTTTAAACTCAATTATAATCATGATAATAATAACAATACTATATCTTTAGCGTTTTCCAATGATTAATTTTGTATGTTTTTCATGTGTTTAAATGGATATCTAAACATGTTTTAACTTGATTTTGGCTGAAAAATATTGGGTCAAAATTTGTGTTTGCCAACCTTTTGGACAGTCAGGGGTACTACTTGTACACATTATTTTTACTTACTTGAAGAAGTAAATAATAATAAACTTATATAAGTAAATTTGTTGTATTCATATTTTCTAATAAGGTTTGAATAATCTCCCCTTAATTTTCTCAAAATATTTACTTGTATAAGTAATTTTTTTTTACAATCCCTAAAATTCTCAAGTTTTGGGATGTAAAAACATGCCTTAAACAATTTTTCTCTGGTTAGCTCATATTTTTTTATTAGAGTTCAACCTTTCATCTCATTATTTCAACAGAGAAACTAATTGCGCAAATATCTTTTAAAAGTAATTGCGCAAGGCTTTCAAAAATTACCCCTTGGAGACTAGTAAATAAGCATTGTTTTGAAGATAACAGACAAATGAGATTTTCATTGTCCATGAAATTACACTTAAATGATAAGTAAAGACATCTGCAAAGGACAGACAATTAAAAATTCTATTAGAGTAAGAGAAAAGAAGTCTTGAGAAATTCAAGAAAGGGAGATAGTATGACTTTTTTACTTGTATAAGTAAAAATATCTGATAGTCTAAGGGACATAACTAAGCCATTAAAATAATTTACCTATACAAGTAAATAAAATACACTTGTAGAAGTATCTTACAAATTTACTTATATAAGTTTATTAATATTTACTTCTTCAAGTAAATAAAAATAACTTGCACAAGTAAGTACCCCTGACTGTTGGACCAGATATATAGTTACCAATATTTGTCTACCCAACAGCATAATTGTCAGACTTGTCAGACAGTCTGGCATATTTCTGGATGTTTATCACATATTTAGCCTATAAATGAAATTGGATAAAAGGAGGACAAAATAATAAGACTAACTAAATATTATTGTTCTATACATATATGCACAATCATGGCTCTACAATCTGTCGATACCTGTATCTTGGCATTGCACAAGGTCATGTTTTTCTTTGACTGTTTATGACGTCTTTACACTAAATCCATTGGATGTTGGATGTGTACAGATTGATAATTTAGTCTTAGATGCATGCTTTTTTTATAAGTTGTTAGTGGCTTTGAACTAGTTGTCAGTAACTGCGAGTACTCTCAGATCTGTACTTAATGTCTTTTTGTTGTTTGGATGTACAAGTACCCGGCCACGTCCACTTGTATTTGTAGTATATGTATTTTTATCCATCTGATGAGTTAAGCCTCTTTAAACTGATTTTTATAGTTCGTTCTTTTGTTGTACTGTTACATCACTGTTCCAGGTTAGGGGGAGGGTTGGGATCCCGCTAACATGTTCAACCCCGCCACATTATGTATGTATGTGCCTGTCCCAAGTCAGGAGCCTGTAATTCAGTGGTTGTCCTTTGTTTATGTGTTACATATTTGTTTTTTGTTCATTTTTTGTACATAAATTAGGCCGTTAGTTTTCTCTTTTGAATTGTTTTACATTGTCATTTCGGGGCCTGTTTATAGCTGACTGTGTGGTATGGGCTTTGCTCATTGTTGAAGGCCGTGCCGTGACCTACAGTTGTTTATTTCTGTGTCATTTGCAATTGGTCTCTTGTGGAAAGTTGTCTCATTGGCAATCATACCACATCTTTTATTTTATATGAAGTAATATGATCTTTTTTTTTGGGGGGGGGGGGGGGGGGGGGGGTTGCATTGTTTTATCAATACTATACTGATCAATAATTTCCCTATGAACTTGTTATAAAAACCTGGTCACAATATCAGACATCATTTTGGAAATGTATATACGTAAGACATAAGCTTGTTAAGCATGATTAGAAATGAATTTATGATGGATACACACTTCACTTTACAGTCAGGTACAAATGTATCAGGCTGTTGATGTTCTCTTTTAAATTGTTTCACATTCTGTCATGGCATGCCTTTTGAGCTCACTATATGCATACGGTATTGTTTTTTTTCTCATTGTTAAAGGCAGTTTGGTGACCAATAGTTATTAACATCCACATTATTTGCCTCTGGTGGATAGTTGTCTCATTGGCAATCATAACACATCTTTATTTTTATATGTACAAATGTAAACTGCAGAGTCAATTCAAATTTCAAATGAAGCAAGTCTTAAAAGCTTGCAAATTGGGCTAACTAGTAATAGCTCACTGATATGGATTTGTAAACTTGTGAGTATAATAAAAAGGAGATATACTATGTACTATGTAGGATTGCTCATCAGATCGCTATCAACCAGCTGAGACAAAGGGACAAGGATAATGGCACCTAAAGGTATGGTTGAATTTAAGACCTCCAATTAGTCATTGCATGTCACAATGGTGTGTCCATATAAGCTGGCTGGTCTTATCTACATTGGCATAATTGGTCATCCATAAAGTGTCAGCTGTCTTATCACGAGTCCAAACAGTTATCATGGATCATAGTTTATATGACATCTTGAAAGGCTATTTTAATTTTTTGCTGTGATGTCTTCCCACAACGTCGTAGGACGACGTCATAGCAAACAATTAATATAGCCTTTCAAGACTCATAATTATTTGGACTAACCATGCTAACATATCCCACAAGAGTCGACAAGACTTATCCTCGTCTCATGGGTTTTCGTGCTATTAAGAATACATTGTGACGTCACAATTTCCTTTAAAAAGGCATGCATAGTACGAATTCATATGACGTACAAAAACATATGATCTGACCATATAAGTGCTATTATTGTTCTATATGCTTTGTCAGCGATGCAAAAAAAAGGGTATTACAAGCTGGGACTATTATAGTATAATAGTCCCAGTCACAAGGGAATATGTGATAATCAATTACATTTTAACTTAAAGAAGTGTCATAGGACATTGTGAGGTACAGTTAGGGAGCTACCATTTGATTTTTATGGGGGTCTAGGATGAAAAATTTTGTCCTGCCTTTTTATTTTTCCCTCTATTCGGTCCTGCCTTTTTATTTTTCACTCTATTCGGTCCTGCCTTTTTTTAAAGTTTATCCTGACTTTTTTATTTAACTATATTGTCATCCTGCATTTTTTTTTTGGAAATAATCTCATCCTGCCTTTTTTTTTTACTCAAAACTCCTGTCCTGCCTATTTTTTTCAAATTTCATCCTAGCCCCCCCATAAAAATCAAATGGTAGCTTCCTTATTTGTTTTTGGGATGTCAATTTTTTAAAATAAAAAACACCAATTTGAAGATTATGTAAACAGGTATATAGTCGACTTCTGATAGTATCCATATATAAATTATATATATTACTATACAACTGTACAAATCGTTGGTATTGATAAACAAGTGCCTGTTGAGTGATTGTAGGTCTACGTTATTTTGAATAATTTCAGTTTTAATATATATCATGAAGTAAAGTTCATATGAAACTTACAATGAATGCAGAATTAAACAAATTATTATTATGTACGGTAAATCCATTCAAGACCTCATCATGCTCAAGGGAAATAACTTTAGTGAAATTGGAAGTAAGACAACTCGCCCCACTGCAGAATCGCCTCGCCCCACATCTCACCTGAACCTATATTTAAATACGTGGTTTTTTTATGAGTACAATTACTTTTTCAGAAATGATTGATATTGCATGGTGTATGAGAGTGTTTTAGTACTTGGATATAAACACCGTCATTTTGAAAAAAAACTACCTCACTTAAAAATTCATGAATAACACATTTTAGGATATTTGTTTGGAAATGTAATTTTAAGGGGATATTATTTAGACCTGTTAAAACTTGATAAAGCAAAGAAACAGCGCTTTTATTGCTGTTCTTTATCTCAAAGTCACAGTAAGGCCTTCAACACGGAGCAAAAACTATCACCTCACTGCAAGTTTAAGTTTTATCACCAGTTTGAGACGGCTCCTAGCACCGGTTTGAGACTTACCATAATTGAGATATCTTCAATGCCCTTGAATGTGTACAAATATTGTATCTGATTTTATGTGTTGACATGTTAGCAAAAAAATCAAACAACCCCAGCTACCATCTGATCTCAATCTCCCCTGAATCATGTGAAATAAAATATTTCTGAGAATATAGGACAAAAATAGAAAAAAAATAAAATAAAACTGATACCAGCATATTACTCAAAATCAAAACATCTATTTATATTTACTGCTCGTATGTAGGGTATCAATGTACTTTTTAAGCGCATTTGACCATAAACAAATGTAATAGTTTAAATTAAAGAGAACCAAAACTTAACATTCAATTCTTTGTAGGGCTTCTGGATGGGGAGTCCTTCATTTCATTATTCTTTATTTTTTAGACTATTTTTCTCTTTTCTTTATTTATTTTACCCGTTATTCTCTTTTCTCTATATTTTAGCACCCCATTATTCACTATTCTTTATTTTTTTTTTGCCTATTTTTCTCTATTCTTTATTTTTTTGGCCTATTTTTCTCTATTCTTTATTTTTTTAGCCTATTTTTCTCTATTCTTTATATTTTTTTGCCCTTTATTCTAGACATTTTGCCCATTATTCGCTATGCTGTAAACCCAATCCAGGACCTCATTTTAATATACACAACACATCAGAAAACCTATCATATGAATTAAAATGATTGATTGGCGGTTGTTTAACGTCCAGTGGCAAACATTTCATGCATGTTCAGGATCAGAACAAATTAACAATAAATACAATAGGTAGGTCCTGTAATAGAGGCCGTCTGAGATGAAGGTCGGAGAAATTTTGACTGCCTCTGGAAAATTAATGATAAAATGGATAGGGACAGAAAGTTTCCCTTGCAGCAGGTCACATACGAACCCCTCAAAGAGTTGTTACAAGGGTTCTTCACGTGCAGAGAGCGTGGCACGAGGCATCGGATTTAACGTCCCCATTCTGACCGGACGTGGCTGCGTACTTTTACATCCCACACAACCAAACTGACGCCCCATTACGACAAGTGTTACTCATTTCTTTCTTGGATACAGCAGACTTAGGTAGTATAGATCTTATTACAAACGGGATATTACATCAAAATTTTTAGGTGATATTGTTTATAGAGCTCGTAAAATAAGATAGGATCTATGCAAAAAATCTTCTTCTTGTTTTCTTCTAATAAACTTATTTTTAAAAGTTATCAGTTTAACAGTGCAGTAAGATCTTTGGATTTGTCTCATCAGTACTAACATTGATTTTATTTTTAGTAGTTTAATCAATACATAACTTATACAATTGAGAATGGAACATGTATTATTAATTCGTTATTAACACTTATGGTCCTTCATTATATTATTTATATTTTTGATAATGCACACGGTCATGCAGGCTTTTCTTAGACTGCTTATGACATCTGTACATTAAGTCTGTTGGTGGTGTACTAATTAGTATTTTAACCTGGGAAATAATCTATTATTTACTAGTTGAATTGGGTTTTGAATTAGCTTTTAATAACTGCAAGTACTCTTTGTTAGTTGTTTTTGTGCTTAATCTCGATTTGATGAGTCATGACCTCTCCGATTGATTTAACAGTTGTTTGTTCTTATGCTGTGTTGTTACACCACTGTTCCCGGTTAGGGGGTAGTTGAGCGCTAACAAACATGTTTAACCCTAGTGTATACTTTATATCCATGTCCAAGCCAGGGGCCAGTAGTCCATTGGTTGTAGTTGGTTGCCGTATCTCAAAATTGTTTTGTTAATTTTCGTTTATTGTAATTAGCTTAAATCAGGCCGTTAGTTTTCTCTGTTGTATTGGTTCCCATTTGTTATCCTACATATAGCTTACTATATATACGGTACGGGTTTTACACATTGTTGAAGGCTGTACGGTGACATGTAGTTTTTAACGTTCTTTTCCTGCTTTTTTTTATGGAGAATTGTCTAATTGGCAATCAGACCACACGTTCTTTTATATATATTGATAGATACTATTTTATGGTTTATATATGCGGTAGATATCATCCGGGATAACGACCATTTCAATCGTTGTTCTAATGGACGATTTAAAAAATTCAAATTGTATATGGTCAATCGTCAAAATGATTTTTTCTGGAAGAAGAAAGAATTATTCATAAACATTCGTAACCGGGATTAAATCATAAATGATATTTTATTTTTTACTTAAATGAAATTTTAAAGACTTTACTCAAATTTTAGAATGACAATAGTAGTATTGAAGACCCATTGGTGGCCTTCGGCTTTTGTCTGCTCTATGGTCGGGTTGTTGTCTCTTTGACACATTCCCCATTTCCATTCTCAATGTTATCCCTTGTATTTGTTAACGTAATACTATTGTTAACGTCAATCAATTGTTTTATAACACTTATGTATACATGTCACATTACCTGAAGATATGTCAAAGCAGTGAAAGTGCTAGTAAATGTAATGAATTGAAACCGTTGTTATCTTTTATTAAGCTTCTTATATGTTACCAGCATACGGATTCTACTTAACTTTTCTTTATATATTATCTAGACGAATTATACATATATAAATAAGCAGACAAAGGAAGTGCCGTTGTTGTGATGAACATGGCGGACTTCACCGAAGAAGGGAATCGTCAGCAACATGTGATCCAATAAAAGAAATCAGCAAGAACATGAATGACGTCCTCTCAGAAATGAATAGAGATAAATAAATTGATGACGACACGTACGATTATCTACGTTCTACACTCGAAAGGATAAACATCCCCCAACTGACTGTCTAGTTCAGTTACTCAAGCTAGTGCTTGAAAATAACAACTTTATTTTCAACGACCAGCACTTCTTACAGATTAACGTTACTAGTATGGGAACAAAAATGGCACATTCTTTTGCCAACATTTTTAATAGAGGATCTTGAAGAACGCATCCTTTTGAGTGTGCCATACAAACCTTTGTCTTGGCTCCGTTTTATTGATGATATCGACATGAAGTGGAACGATACTGCAGAACATCTACCATTTTTTTAGATCATTGTATCAAGTTCCACCATTCAATAAAATTTACATCTGAATTTTCAACCGAGAAAATTGCGTTTCTCGACACCACCACATTTGTGAAAAACGGGGTCATTTCAACTCCACACAAAGAAAACTGACAAACACCTGTTTCTCTCACCAAAAAGTTGTCACCCAAAACACTGCTCCAGGAGCATTCCTTACAGTCAAGCCATCAGACTAAAGCGAGTTTGCTCCTCGGAAGCCAAACTCAACCACCGTTTGGGACAACTCAGACAAGAACTTAAATTAAGAGGAAAGAAAAACAAAGATATCACAGAAGCTTTCGATAAAGCCAAAGAAAAAGATCGAAATATCCTCATAGAATACAAAGACAAGACAACCTGCACAGAGATAATTCCGTTTGTTGTCACCTTCCATCCCGATCTGACAAATATTTCATCCGCAAGCACTGGCGTCTTATTGAAAATGACTCTTCCTTAAAAGAAGTATTTCCATCATCTCCTGTTATTGCTTATCGCATACCCAAAAATCTCAAAGATATACTTGTTACATCTAAAGTAAAATAACAAGAGACCTAAAACATTGGGTGTTACAAACAATGCGAAAGAAGCAATAATTGTTGTAACTGCTGTAAAGTCGCAAAACACTGAAAACTCTTTCACCAGCACTGATAAGTAAGATGATTGAGCGATGTTATTTTTTTTTATTTTTCCATGCGTTCCCATTTGTTTATTTAACTTTGTCATAATAGTTGTTAAAATATTCAGTGTATTAAAAAATTTGTTTTAGAATTGGTTTATACTATATTTTCCTTCCATGTGTGTTTACTTTTTCTTCCATAACGGTTTTCCCTTCGCATTTGCGCTGTGCGATTGTGTAACGAGAGTATCCTGGTTAAGGTCGCAGCATACGGAAAAGCTATCGGCAAATTAAAGAAAGGGAAAATGATAATTCAATAGAGGTACATTTCTAAAGATTGGGATATATTAAGATGAAGGATTTTCTGTTTAAAAAATAGTATATAATTAACAAAATTACTTGCATGAGATGTACAAGTTACATGTATTTAAGTACCGAGAACAAAGTGATACATTTTGTTAAGCACTCTCTATACCTTGTAGGTTTGCTTTACGTAACTCAAGTTTTTACCTTGAAAAGATTTTGAATGAAATTATCATTGATAACCATTTGATTTTGTTTAACGAAGATTGAATGAAAAATAGATGTTTATATGGTGTCTACAAGCTTGTAATCTCTCACGTCATGTTGTGACTTTGCGGCAAGTAGTCTAGCAATGTCCATGAACATTATATGTGTAAGCAAAACCTGAGTTTACTCATGTTTTAGTGGGGTTCGTGTTGATCATTCCATTGTTTTACTGTAGTGGATTGTGAATGGTTGTCTGTTTTTTCGTTGTTTTTTCATTTGACCACGAAGGTGTCTGTTTATCTTCGACTTATTAATTTTGTTTTGTTATTTTCCCGCCATATGTAAGATCAATCTGTAAAAAAAGGTATATTTGTTTGCCTTTAAAACCTTAACTTCGCTTTACATCAAAAGATGTTCTTATTTTAAGGTTGGTTTTAGTTTTTGAGTTATATGTTGATTGATAATAAGGAACTTTTAGATTTAAATTTTCTACGTTTTTTAGAATAAATTATAGTTCTGTGATGAAATTTCAATTTGAAAAACCCACTAAGAAAGGCTCCGGCTATCAATGTGTTGGGATTACACGTATAGTATAGGTATACATATATTTCATGTCGGGGCCTTTTATAGCCGACTATACGGTATGGGTTTTTCTCACTGTTGAAGGCCGTACGCTTGCCTATAAGCCTTACATGCACTTCATTTGAACTTTGGTGGATAGTGGTTTCATTGGCAATCATACCACATCTTCTTGTTTTTATATTCATGTTCATTTGTTTGTGAAATGATTTTATGAAATTTGTTCTTATGTTGTACTGTTACACCACAGTCCCATGTTAGGGGCAGGGTTGAGCGCTCACAAACATGTTCAACCCCGCCACATTCTTTGTGTGCCTGTCCCAATTCAGGAGCCTGTAGTTCAGTGATTGTCGTTGATTCATGTCTGTCATATTTGTTTTTTGTAAATTGTTTTGTTATAGATTAGGCCATTATTTTTTCAATTGAATTGTTTCATATTTTTCATGTCGGGGCCTTTTATAGCCGACCATACGGTATGGGTTTCTTCGCATTGTTGAATGCCTTACGGTTGCCTATAATTGCTTACATCCACCTCATTGAACTTTGGCGGATAGTTGTCTCATTGAATCATACCACATTTCCTTATTTTTATATTCATTTAGCCAACGTTTAGAGATTGAAATATATCAAATAGAAAATCATTATTCATAAGCAGAAAAGAACGTTTTGATTAAGGTGTTGGAATTGATGTATTTTCAAAACTTGAAAAAAGAATTACTAGTATTCCGATTATTGAAAGCATTTTACAAAATCTGATGTTGAGATTATGGGGAGGGGGAAAATGTTCGTCATAATCACCTTACCTTTGAGAATGGACCTGCTATGGTCAAAAGAATGGCAACAAAAGGACAGACACCAGCACACTAAAACAATAAATTAAGCAAAATGAACTCACTAAAACTAAAAACCAATCAATCAATCAATCATTTGGTCTCTGGTGTTAACTTGTTTCATTGACAATCAGACCACATATTCTTATTTGTATATACAATGTTAACCATGAAACCACACGAAATCTAAAGTATACAATGTTAACCATAAAACCACACGTGATCAGAAATAAACACTGTTAACTTTAAAACCACACGAAATTTAAAAAAACAATGTTATTCATAAAACCACACGGAGTCTAAAATATATTATGTTAACCATAAAACCACACGAAATATAAAATATATTATGTTAACAAAAAAAAAAAACCACACGAAATCTTAAATATACAATGTTAACCATAAACCACACGAAATCGTAAATATACAATGTTAACCATAAACCACGCGAAATCTTAAATATACAATGTTAACCATAAAACCACACGAAATATAAAATATACAATGCTAACAAAAAAAACCACACGAAATCTTAAATATACAATGTTATTAATAATCATAAAACCACACAAAATATAAATATACAATGTTAACCATAAAACCACACGAAATTTAAAATATACAATGTTAATCATAAAACCACACGAAATTTAAAATATACAATGTTAATCATAAAACCACACGAAATTTAAAATATACAATGTTAATCATAAAACCACACGAAATTTAAATATACAATGCAAATCATAAAACCACACGAAATCTAAAATCTCAATGTAAACCATAATACCACACGAAATCTAATATAATACAATGTGAATCATAAAACCACACGAAATCTTAGATATACAATGTTAATCATAAAACCACACGAAATCTTAGATATACAATGTTAATCATAAAACCACACGAAATCTTAAATACACAATGTTAATCATAAAACCACACGAAATCAAAAAAATAAAATGTTAACCATCAAACCACACGAAATCTTAGATATACAATGCTATTCATAAAACCACACGAAATCTAAAATATACAATGTTAACCATCAAGCCACACGTGTTCTGAAATAATCAATGTTAACAATAAAACCACATGAAATCTTGAATATACAATGTTAATCATAAAACCACACGAAATCTGAAATAAACAATGTAAACCACAAAATCACACGAAATCTAAAATATACAATGTTATTCATAAAACCACACGAAATCTGAAATATACAATGTAAACCATTTAACCACACGAATCTAAAATACACAATGTTAATCATATAACCACGCGAAATATAAAATCACAATGTTCACTATAAAACAGACGAAATCTAAATTATAGAATGTTAATCATAAAACTACACGAAATCTAAAACATACAATTTTAACCATAAAATCACACGAAATCAAAAAATGGTCATTGCGGTCACAACCATGGTGTACAATAATTCTACAGATTTTTCGGAGTACCAATGGATCACTTGACGTTCTAAGATTTTCATCTATAAGCAAAATGTTCAATGCCAAAGAAGTTCGATGAACTCGAGGCAAATATTTAATATGTTTTTATATAGGAAGTTTATAAACTATACGAGGAACAATAACCTATTCGAGTATACGTCAAGGTTGTAACATTTATGATGTAGGTATGAACTACGTAAACCTCTTATTAGGGGATTTTGTAAAAACATAAATAGACCGATAAAACTGTCAGTGTGGTTTTTACATTGATTCATCGTTCGCTTTCATTTATCATTGACCCTATTAACATTAAGCTATGTCATATATAGATAAATATATCATATGCTAAACACAGATCTATTCATGGTCTGAATACATAAGTATAGAAATTGGAATATTTGTTACTAAGTGACGAACCTACGTAAAAGGTCATTGGCGAATGAAAAAGATCATTGGGTAAATATTAAAAAAATGAGGATATTAGAATAATATAAAAGACAAAAATCAAGTCAAAGTCAGATATATATAAATATACATCTAGAAGTTCAGGTAAGAATATATCGAACTTATTAAGTAAGAGTAAGTAATTTGATACTTTAAAAAAGGTTTCTTATCTTCAAAAAAAAACTTTCTAACATCAATTTGTTTCTTCTTTTTTCGTTGACAATACCCGACAGGATGAAAGCACGTAAACATCTTGAGGATTAAGGTGGTACCAAACACTTTGACTAAAATTAATTTGGCTAGTTTAATTTTCATGAAATTTTGACAAAATATCTACTTTGACCCTTTCACAAAAATATAAAAATTTCAAAAAACTTGAACCACACACTTTATCGGAAAAAAATCATTGGATATATAGCAGTTGGACAAACACTTATTTTGATTATTGAGAAGCTTAATATTTCCTTAACAACCGAACGTGATTAAAACGTTCAGCTGATTTTTACAGAGCTATCTCACTGTAGTGTTATGTACCAACTTAAGTATAGTTTATTTGAACATTTCCCCCCAAAATACGATCGTTTCACAACTCCAAACTGAATTTTCAGGAATAACAAATAAATTTAAAAGGAGAAGCAGCATGGATGTTGATCATAGATAATACTGAAGCTAATAAATGCTTATATAAATTAATATCACTTTTATAAAGTCTCCGATGTTGTAAAAAAACAACGTTTACAGTAAATTAAATCACACCAATAGACTATTTTGTCTTAGTGCAAATTAAAAGGACAGGAACAAGCATTTTCTAGCTGACTGTGTGGTATGGGTTTTGCTCATTGTTGAAGGCCGTACGCTGACCTATAGTTGTTAACTTCTATGTCATTTTGGTCTCTTGTTGAGAGATGTCTCATTGGCAATCATACACATCCTCTTAATTTTTTATAATAGGTATAATAGATAAATTACACAAAATGACCGAAGTATTTCGGCAAAATTTGTCATGTATTGCAAAACACCATCTATTGATGATTAAATGAGTATAAGCAAGCCAAAAACAATGGTGTTCTATTAAAATATATGCATGCACACAAACTTGATATATATGTTTTAAGGTTTGAATACCAAGTATGAACAATACAATCGTCTACATCGAAGACGTCCGGGTTGGTGTCCTTCAATTCTGCAATTCATTATTTTTGTAGCCATTTTCTCTATTCTTTATAAATTTGGCCCATTATTCGTAATTATTTATATTTTTAGAATTGATATTAATAAAAAAAAAATGCTAACTGAATAGCACCGGAATGAAACATAAAGCAATACAATCTTATGTTTAAAGCTTTTCTGATTTTACAAGATAGATTAATGATACTGGCGATAAATTGAGACATTAAAGCAAATAATGTCATTGAAATCAACTTTTAATCTGCCATTTTTTGTAATGCATATTGTTTTTTTACTGCAGATCACAATGAAACACCAACTTATCACTATAGTAGTATTGTTGGTCCTGGTTGACCTAATTATTTGTGCAGGCGGTGGAGGCGGCGGCGGGGGTGGCGGAGGAGGAGGTGGTGGTGGTGGAGGAGGAGGAGGTGGTGGAGGTGGTGGTGGTGGCGGAGGAGGCGGCGGTGGCGGAGGAGGTCAACAGAACGTTATTGTTGATAACAGCCGCGGAGGCGGAAGACAATGGGGTGGTAGACAACAGTTCGGAGGCGGCCGACGACAGTTCGGGGGCGGACGACGAAAGTTCGGAGGCGGCCGAAGACAATTCGGAGGCGGTCGACGACAATTCGGAGGTCGTCGAAATAGGTGGTAGACAAAAGTTTTGATCCAACAGTCATTTTTGTTGATGGTAAGTTGTTGATAACATCTGAATCAGTCTTAATGTATGTAATAAGCAGTGTTTTGCTTAAGGTTATTTTCTATCATTTATCATCAAGATGACCATTAATATCTCTTCACAGCAGAACGAAATTTACGGCTTAAAAATTATTACTTGTATTTTATCTACATGTATTTAAGTTTTCTTTATCTTTCTAAATGTAACCATGGAGAAGAAAAAAAATACTGTCGAAATTTTGCACATAAAACAATAACAAAAGTTTAAATTTAATAACCTCGTTTTAGATGAAAACAGTCCTGGCGATACCAGCTTCACTATGAAATTTTCTCTAAGTATTTAAGTATTCTTTATCTTTCTAAATGCAGCATGGAGATAATAAATCTGAAAATATTGTCGAATTTTGCACATGAAAACAATAATAAAAGTTTAAAATTAATATCTTCGGTTTAAGATGAAAAAAGTCCTGATGATAGATACAGCTTCAGTATGAAAGTTTATCTCTTTGAGTATTCTTTATCGGTATAAATGTAGTCATGGAGAGGGAAAACAATAATCTGAAAATAGTGTCGAAATTTTTATTATGAAAGCAATAATACAGTTTATTTATTAACTTCTTTATAGATTAAAACAGTCCTGGCGATACAGCTGAAAACCATCTACAAATGTATATATACCATATTGGTGATAGAGACAGCAGAATAACGTTTTTTTAAATTGTATATGTTTATATATCTTTATTTTGATACTATGTATTTTTCCAATAAAGACTTTGAATAAAATCGATATGCTCTTATTTGTCTCTGAAGAAGGTTTCAGCGATCGGTAACTGATGAAACAGAAGAAAGATATTTGATTCTGATCTTAATCATGATATGAACTTTAAATCCGAGAAACAAAAAGTATTCTTATTCAATTCAGCTCAAACATTATTTGAATCTAACTTCTTTAAATTAGATGTAGAGGCTACTAAGATGTTATCAGAATGTAATTGTTTTCAAATATACTATAGAAATTTAAGCAAAGGACTGGCACTTCTTCTTATCAAAATATCCTCAATTTTGACGTTTGTAATTTAATGTAATCAAATAGATGGATAAGACTAAGATTAAGGGCTATGAAAACCAGATTGAAATTGCTACACTAAATTATGATGGACCGGCAATAAAACCCTTAACAAAGTGGGGCGTCCATTTGGCTGTGCGGGATGTTTAAATTCGCAGCCACGTCCGGTCAGAATGGGGACGTCAAATCGATGCCTCGTGTACAGAGGGTGTCGCGCTCTTTGCAAGTTATAAATTCTAGCAACTACTCTTTAAAGGGTCAGTAGGTGGTCTGTTGCAAGGTTAAATGTATGTCCCTATACAATATACTCTCATTTTTCTGCGGCATTTTAAGTTTTCCGCCGATTATCCCGGTCGACTACTTATTGCAGAACCTACTTATTGTATTTATTGTTAATTTGCTTTCGTCCTGAACATACATGTAATATTTGCTACTGGACGTAAAGTAAACAACAATCATTCAATCAATCAAATATGTTTCTTACAGTTTGATAGCAATTTACCCTTTGCAAGAATTTTTAAAAGGATTTTTCAATGATTGTTTAAATCAATTTTATACTTTCATTAAAATTGGCATTCAATCTAAATGATGGTTAAGATCATAACTTGTATGTTTTACAAACTCGTTATCAATATGTCTATCATGTATTAAATATTTGGTTGATTGATTTATTGATGTTTGCTATATGTCCAGTGGCAAATAACATATTCAGGATGAGAAAACATTAAACAGTTAATCAAATAAGTGTGTTCTGCAGAAAGAGTTCCTTAGAGCAAAGAAGTCGTTTCTGGATTCGTATAGTGCATAGAACATGTCCCCTCTCAACTCGGGGCTTTATTGTTATCTCAGTGTATGTACACTCAAACGACCTATTAAGCACGGTTCTGTATTAGACGGGAGTTCTGTCAACTTTTCCCCAGTCAACTCTTTGAGTTCCCAAACATTAGTAACGTTTTGACCATCAAATGAATACCCATGTCCCGTGTAAAGCGAGTCCCTTTCCCTACAATCCGTGTTAGCTGCGAGCCTCGTTATCAACACGAAAAAACTCTAACCTTTTTAAAAGGGTTAATAGGTGGGATTTAGCCAGAGTTAAGTTCATCATTGTATTGTATGTTCTTTTGTGGATCTTTTGTTCCGAATACAAATGTGGACATAGACAAATGTGGATAGTTTGGTTTGAGTCATGGTACTTTGGGACTTTCATTTTGAATTTTGCACTTTATATAAAAACAAGGAGATGTGGTATGATTGCCATTGAGACAACTATCCACCAAAGTTCAAATACAATGGATGAAAGTAATTGTACTAGTAGGTAACCGTACGGCCTTCAACAACGAGAAAAACCCAAACCGTGTAGTCGGCTATAAAAGGTCCCGACATGAACAATATGAAACAATTCAATTGAGAAAACTAACGGCCTAATCAATAACAAAACAATTTACGAAAAACAAATATGACAGACATGAACCAACGACAACCACTGAACTACAGGCTCCTGACTTGGGACAGGCATATACCGAATGTGACGGGGTTATACATGTTTGTGAGCGTTCAACCCTTTACAATATGGTTCTATTATGTTGCAAGATGGTGGTTATTGATATCTATTTTGGCTAGGTAAAAAGAAACTTACAAATTATAATATTAATTTTTGGTTTGGTATTATCCTAGTATCTTAAGTGCAAGAATTTGTTTAAATGTGGGAAAAGGGTTTCTCAGAAAAAGCTATGTGTATGTATTTCTCAAAGGATTCAATGTTAAGCTTTAATCTTTGAGGCAAACGCTCTTTGGTTTGGATTGGCACAAAACCTCGAAATCCCAATACAATACAATTTACAGTACCAAGCAGTTCCCCAGAAAATCTTTGTAATTTAAGGCAATCAGAACAAATTGTTGGACCTAACAGCCATTTTGAATTTCTGATCAACATAAAAATCTCAAAAATTGTAAAGTACCTTCAGATGGAGATTCCTGCAAAGTTTTGCTTTGGAAACAAAAGAAACGGCTTCGATTGGCAAAAAAGAGACTAAATGACGTAGAACTTATGTCACCGTACGGTCTTCAGCAATAAGCAAAACTCAAAACTGCATAGCAAGCTTTAAAAGGGCCCGATATGTAAAAAAGGTAAAACAATTCTAACGAAATAACTAACGGTCTGATTTATGTAAAAATAAATATGATATACAGCAACAAACAACGTCCACTGAATTACAGGCTTCTGATTTGGAATAGGCACATACAGATTGTGGCGGGGTTAAACATGTTTACCTTTTTTTCATATCGGGGCCTTTTAAAGCTTGCTATGCAGTTTTGAGTTTTGCTTATTGCTGAAGACCGTACGGTGTTCCTTTATTCAGTAGGATTAAACTCCTTTTCATGAGTGGGGTGAGCTGGTAGGTGTCAATACAGCGAGGTAAAGCTAAATTACGATGGACCGGCAATAAAACCCTTACAACAAAGTGGGGCGTCCATTTGGCTGTGCGGGATGTATAAATTCGCAGCTTTGGAAACAACAAGAAACGGCCTCGATTGACAAAAAAGAGAGACATTTTCCTCGGAGTTCAGTATTTTTGTGATTTTACTTTTTGCTGGTTTCTTTATTCAGTAGAATTAAACACGTTTGCTGGTTCCTTTATTCAGTAGGATTAAACTCCTTTTCATGAGTGGGGAGCTGGTAAGTGTCAATACAGCGAGATAAATCTCTTTTTAATTAATTGGGCGAGTTGAAAGTTAGACGACTTTTTCTGTCGTGATTTGGACGTCGGGAGGGTCTATTCGGCGGAAGTGGGAAAACGCGGAAGTGTAAAATTAACATATCTTAAGTCATATCCTGAAATAGTTCAAGATGAAATAAAAAGTGAAATGGATTTTCTAAAAGCTTATAAAATAGTCCATAACCAGAAATAAAATAATATTTGTTTTTGAAATGTAATTTTACTGGAAAGTTGGCCGGACTGACCTGTTGAACGATAATGTGTCTATCCAAAATGACACTTTGAACTAAAATTGACCAAAAATATACAACCTAGTCAAAATATCTAAAATGATTTATGAAGACAATTTACTGAGAAGTAATCCATGTATAGAAATACCGACGTCACCTTTTCAAATTTAAACTTAAATTTCTAAAACAAATACAGAGCAAACCTTTGTCTGTTTTTGCAAAGTCAACTTATAAACAATTTAACAAGTATAAGTTAAATTAGAAAGAACATTTTGGAAAAGGGCAAAATCCTGGCAGGAAGTCCTACTTCCTTGTGGAAAAATACTTTCTGCAAATTCTCAACTTTGAAATAAAATTTTCTCACAGATGACAGAACCGGGACAAACTCTTTAATATGATTGCTAAAGATGTACATGTTGAAATTTTAAATAAGTCTAGGAAAATGGTTAAAAAAATATTACCTGAAGTCTCTTCTGTGTAGAAAAAATTAAGGCAAAGTTCAAACCTCCATACAATGCAACTAAGAAGAGCAGATAAACAATATTGATGTTTAAGGATATTTCATTTTAAAAAGTAAATAGATGTGGTATGACTTCTAATGAGACAGATTTCCTCCACAGACCAAATGACCAGATCATTGATTTTTCTATTTGGAATAATATGAAAGTCAATGATCTGGTTTCAGAAACCCTAAATTGTTATCCCGATAATAAAAACATAAAGCTGGTTCATACATTGTCATGACATTACAAAATTACAAAATGATTAATTTTCCGAATAAAAAAAAACCCCAACTTTTTCCCTGACTTTTTTCAAACATTGTTAAGAAGATGCAGACAGCAACGGACAGACGTTTGGACACTTCCTTTTTAGCGGGAACGTATAAGCTGGTGTCAATGTGTGAAAGAACTACGTTTTTCCGTAAAATGGATTTAATAGAGATATGCAAGTATTCTACAAATTTACTACATCAAACTTGATAAAAAGTTTTACTTTAGATTCATCTTGACTTTAAATAATATTTTACATTTATAAATAATTATAAAATTATATGACAAGATAGGTATTTAAGACATCAATTAGAATCAGCAACCGTTAGTATATTTTAAAAGGCAGTTCTTTAAACATTTCATTACATGAATTCAAATATTTTAAGATTATTACTGGAAAATTTAATAGCCAATAAATCAATGTCAGAAAAGTATGTCGATTAATGAATTATAAACCTGATTCACCATTACATTCAAATACACAATATATGAAATATTACAATTTATTACTGAATCAAATTATACATTTATATATTTTCATCCTTTCATATTAAAAAAAAACAAAACGTCTAGCAGGAGAGGGTAGTAGCTAGAGGCCTGGCTGTAATGTAAAACACATTAATATCTACTTATATCTCACCACGACAAGAATGTGCTATGTTTGACAGTCTAGTTATGTGTGTTGTAACTACGCCTCTGAAGTATGGAGATTTTATCAAGTAGAAGAAATAAAATCTGTACATATGCAGATTTGTTTTTTAGTACCCAACAATACGCCTGTCTGTTGTATCATTGGCGATCCTGGTCATTTACCTATGTATGTTACTAGGAAACAAAAGTTTTTGAAATACCGGGTTCATATTATAAATAAGAAACCATATATTGTAAAAAAAAACTATATGAAATATGTCAAGTTCTAGTTGCTGACTGTTATAATGGTAAAGATGTATATTCGTAATTTACATGTACTAGTTCCTCTGGAATTTAATTATTCATGGCATGAA